CGTCCGCATAATCATGGGGAATGGATGGAGTGTGGTATGTTCGAGCATCCAATTTAATATTCAGGGCCATTACCAATTGACATAGAGAAGAAAGATCTTTGTGGAGTTGTAATACACCTCGGTTGGTATCTTGAGTCGTCCGATGAATCTCGGTTTGCAAACGGGTATCAAGGATATCCGTCATATTATCGTTGAGAGTGGAGAAACGTTGAAGAAGAATCTCAAATGCTTCCTTATCGAAGGCTGTCCACCAAAGACGCCTCGCCCCCTCGGTGATTTGATCCGTGGTATTGGTCTTGAAGGATTTCATAGCTTTCATTATAAATTTCCTTCTCGATTCGGACAATGGTACATGAGCGCTGGAGGCATCTTTAGCTGGATCATCGATAGAGTTCTCATCTGACACGAAATCCGGGATAGCCTTGAGGTGCTTATTCTTTCTCTGGGCATTCTCAAATTCCTTGAACAAGCATTGAATCTGAACAAGAAGGTCTAGGATGGTGGTTCGATGGATGACAAATGTATTGGATTCGCGGATCTTCTGATCATTTTGATGGTCAAGGTCTAGAAGACCGGAAGTCTCACTCCATGCAAATAGTCTTTGCTGTTCCATCCGCAGTCTCAAATTGTAGTATTTTGACTCTTCAGGAACATTCTTTGCTGTGATAATGAATTGGATCCCTGACAATAATGATATCAATATCCAATAAATCGATTCGAAAGATCAAGGAAATCATATACCTTGAATGCATCCTGTAAACACTTGACCAGCCAAGGATGCTACACTGAGAGCTATACCTACAGCACTGATTGGATCCATATTTCAAAAGAAGTGAAATGGTGTGTCGGGAAATTTGATTGTACTACCGAGGTATGCGAGTCAAAACAAATCACGGCACGGGTGGCCCAGTATATGGAACCGATTGAACCAAAAGGGCCGGTCGTCTTATAACGGCAAGTAATGGACGAGTTGCGGTGGAAGCACTTCCATCAAGACACGATGCTGCGGAATTACTTCCTGCACAGATATTTGCTGGGCAAAGAAAACCTGGCAAAAGAAAAACTGGGGTAGGTCCGCGGATCCGCAGATGGCGCTCGAAAAAATGTTATTGCTTACAATCTTTCTTCGATGTTGTATGTGAAACTGAAGCTTTTCAGAAACTATATTGAAGGAAACACACAAGCTCAATGAAGAAAGAAAACCCAAACCCAATGACAACAACGATCGACTAGTGACTGCAACGCCGTTGAGTGTAATTCAGATGGACATTATCCCATCGTATCATAAAATGATAAAGATTCATCTACCGGCGAGCCAGCCTCATTGTGGCCATGCTCACATACCTTACCCAATCGCTTTTGATATTATTCTCCACAACTATGCAGGTGTCAAAAGGCAGATTTTGCATCACAGATTCACAGCCCTCTCTTGTCTGGTATGGTGTGTGCTGAGAAAATGGCAGATGGCGGGAAGTTTCCCATGTGAGATAATCTTAACCTTTTATATGCAGATTGAATGCAAGGAAAATGCAGAGCTGAGGACATTTTCTATCAATCGCGGATAACGAAGGGGAAATCCGAATCAATCGATGTAAAAACAAACAAGGTCACGTGTGTGGTGAATTAAACCACTCTCGGGACTCAGCTCCAATAGGATTTCTTTGCTTCTTGTGCTCCAAAGTAAATGAAAGGAGATACGCATCAAATACGCATCAACTACGCATACCTACGCATTAAACAACTGTATGTCAGATAGAAAATCGATTGAACGGATGGACCATTCCGCATGCATTTAATAACAACTTGTTCGCACCAGAAGTGATAGGTCCCCATGGTTATATTGAGGCTGCCCGTCCGTTTTCTCAACATCTTCCAACATAAGTTCACAACATTGTTTCATTCTCGTGGCTTCCTCCACCCCTTTATAAGGATTTGACTTGGACCCAGTTGAACACAAACCACATCGCGGTCAGCATATCATTGACGTGTTTGTACTAAACTTATCAAACCTTCTTGTACCCAATCTATTCGGGCTCATCGGGGACCTCGCTAGGTACCACAATTACTACGGTAGTCAGCATTTCCTGTCAAATATCGTAGGACAAGGATAGAATATCCATCAATCATTCGACGTTTTGTACCAGGGTTGCAGTATTGCAGTATTGACTTTCCAATGCAGCAGACCTCTACTTCTGTGCCTCATATGTTTTGGTCGGCGAGCAATTCATCCACATCCACATCAAATCTGACCACTAGAGCTATGGATTCCATTTCTCCCATCCAAACGCCTTCGACGAGTAATGCTCCATCACTCTCACCAACTTCCGATCATGTGCCTGAGAAACAAGGCGAAAGACAGTTAGCAGTCGTCCCGGACCATCAAAAGGACCGGATTACAGTCCCGTCAGCATGCGTCGCTTGTCGCTCCAAGCACCTCAAATGCGATGGCTTTAGTCCATGTTCTAGATGCTCTACTAATGAATATGAATGTGTCTACGTGAGAAGTCGTCGAGGCTTTAAGGGTCCAAGACGTAATGGGGCTCAAAACAAGACGGCGGCGTCGACGTCAACTCAATCAAACAATGCCAGAGCTTGTCCGTTGGTTCGACCAGGGACATCATCTACAACCATCAATACCACCGGTAATTCGGCCAACATTCCCAGTGGATTGGCTACACCTCCCGACAATAGACTGCAGACGCTACCGTTCGGTCCGGCAAATCCTCCGTCTTATGTTATTAATAGAGATCAAACGGTTTTAGACGTCAACAAACCTCAATATAACGGATTAGACCTTCGACAAAAATGTATCGAAGCATTTTATTATCATTTTTGGCCCGCACATCCATTTCTTCTCCCGAGAGATAATCTGCTTAGATTGCTCAAGGAGAAAAAACAACTGGAGCATTTAGAAGCTGCTATGAGATATGTGGGTTCATTCTTCATAGATCAAGCACCTACTACGGCACTATGTCTAGAAGCTGAACGAGCAATTTATCGTCAAGATTGTCCTAAGGATGCATTCAAAGTTCAGGCAATGCTTATTCTTTGCATTGGACTTGATGGTTATACATATCAAGAAAAGGCCTTGGAAGTCCTTACTGATGCTCAAGAGTTAGCTTTACAATTGGGAATGAACAAGAGAGAGTTTGCTTCTATGCATGGAAATGGTTGGTCTAGTTTGGAAGAGAGTTGGCGTCGTACTTGGTGGGAAATGTTTGTGGTTGATGGGATGATTGCTGGCGTTCACCAAAAGAGTTTCTTTCCTATGAAGGATATACCCGCAGAAGTTGGACTTCCATGCGAAGAGAGTGAATTTATTAATGGAGTAAGTTTTCCTAAATTGATACCCGAGAATATCCCGTCATACCTACCTTTCAAAATTACCATACTAACAAGAATCAGAATATTCCACCCCCTCATTTCCTTACAGACTTTGACGATGAGGATTTTGAACATCGTGATTACAGCTACTCCTCATTCACATATCGTATCTCTGCAATCCGAAACTTAGGTCGACTATTGACGGGAAAGATGATCAATCCACATCCTGACAGTTCCGCCGTCGATCGTCTTGATGCGTATCTTGTCAACTTTCGTTTACATCTACCAGATAACAAGAGACAACTTGTCAGTGGTGATGGCAAGCTTGATGAGATGCTGTTCCAAGCAAATATGATTACAGAAGCGTATGTTTTCAACTTATCTATCTTCCGTCAACCCCTCTTACTCTTTGACCCTTTACCACTTTCCTCTCCACAATATCACCTCAATTTTATCCACATAAACTAACCCGTATCCTTTTAGCGCGACTATTGTCCTCCACCGTGAGCTCTCAGAATTAGACAGTAGCATCACTACTCCTATCACCTCCTGTGCCCCTCACCACCCTATCATGCCCGGATCAAACTACAACATCCACGCCTCCAAAACCATTACTGCCGCCCAATCAATCTCCAAACTCGTAACTCTCCCCATTCCCTTAATTCGCCACACGCATTTCTTTACCTGCGTCGTAACTCTTGCCTCTGTAGTCCATCTCTCTTGTTGGTCTGTTCTCTACCCTACTCTCAATGATGACGATTTGAAACAACAATTGAAATTGAACACTGGGGCTTTGAAAACTTTATGGCAAGTGTGGCCTAGTGCTGGACGAGCATTTGGACAGGTTAAAGGAGTAGCGAGTGAGATTTGGCAGAGGAAGAAGGAGGTTGTTGAGAGAGGCTGGTGGGGTGAGGCTGGTGAGGAGGGCTTCATCAGGAATATGCAAGAGGAACAAGGGTATTTGGAGGAATTGCAATTGCTTGATGCTCCTCTACATCCGGGATTCTAGATGTTGTCCGTAGGAGCTTCTTTGCTCCCTTGCATTTTCTGCTTGATCCCCTTTTCCATTTTCTGAGGCTTTTCTTCGGAGTATTTGTTTGGCGAATTTTCCATTTTATGGATGGATCTTCCCATTACTTTATATCCTCCTCGATTCGAGGTTGGTTGAATGCCAATTCCTACTATTCAATGGGACTCGACTAGATACCCTTCTTACTTTGCCATTGGTATTTTGACGCATGGACAGAAGGAAAGAAAAGCTCAACACACTGGAGGGTAAATGACGAAAATTTGACAGGGGAAGATATTAACAGGACAAAATGAGATGAGACGAGAAGACTGAGAAGAGATGAAAATAACGGCCTATCTATTTGTATTTGTATTTCGATATTCTTGAATGCGGGGTGAAGGATGAAGGAAAGTTGGAGTTATATATTTTTTCTTTCTGTTATTTCTTTGGTTTGGATATGAAATTGAGAATGGGAATGGAAGAGAACGATGGATGGACCAAATTCGATAATGGGGTTGATGATATGAATGGATACTGGATATCATGTTTACTTCTACCCTTGATCTGCTTTCAATCTTGGAATGAATTCTCGCTAGGGAGATTTGAGTCATGATTTTACGAGCGAAATGGTATGCTTAAGAATAGGAATCAAATTTCATCTAGTATTCATTGACTACTTTCTTCCTTGCGTTACTTAGGGTATGGCCATATGAGATGTGATATCGGAATAGAAATGATTATCAACGATGTCTGCCACCCACCTTTAAGCTCTTCGCTCTACTCATCTTGGATCAAATCTTGGAGAGATATCTATTATCATGCAATATATTGTAAAAATGCATAAAGTAATAGACCAGGAAGGATTTCTGAACAATCCTCTGTATTGATCCAAACCAAGGCCACCGCAAAAATGCCTCTAAGCATATAGAAATCCAACCAAAACTCCAATCCGAACTCCAGCCAGACTCCAAATGAGGTATACAAAACCAAATTCCTATGTCTCCCTCACCTAACTCTTCAAAGCTTGTAATCTTCCTCTCATCTGATTCAACATCGCCTCGGCATCCTCGTCCTCTTCTTCCGCAGCGACTTCCTCTTGTACAGGCGCTGCCGGTAAACTTGGCGTCGCTCCAACCTTAGACATTCTATCCTGCAATATCTCACCAAGTACCTTATCAACCTCCTCCTCCGCCTCTTCATCTTCCTCTTCCAACTGATCAGGCATCATATCACCAACCATCTCCTCAATAATCCCGGCCTTTACCAATTCCTGACTCAATTCCCTCATCGTCCCCATCAACTCCGGTAATCGCACCAAACTATTCACATCCTTCATGATGCCCACACTCGCCTTGATACTACCCTCGATTTTCCTCACCGCAAACGCTTCATTAACTTGCATATTCACACTCTGCAATTGGGCTTTCGACGTGACGAGTCTGCGGGAGGTATTTCGGGTGCGGATTAATTCGCGCGCGAAAATGCGGGTTTCTTGAGCGGCTTGTTTGGCTTGAGAGGGATTGCGTTGGGCGCGTTTGTTGGCGGCGATGATTAGATTGCGGGTTTTGTTTTCGACGGCTTTGAGGGTCGCGATGTCTCGATCGAGTTTGCGGGTGTTTTGCCGGATGAGGTTGTTACATTTGCGGACCTGGGGGAGGGTTAGATGGGGTTTGAGGGATGGATGAGGGGAAAATGGGAATGGGTATGGTATTGCTATGGCATGGTATGGTATGGGGAATATACGCACTTGAACTTGAGGATCGGGTTTGAAGAATACGGCTCTTATGGATTCCATGATGGATGGCTCAAGTGCGATGTACCCCCAGAATGGATTGGAGGGTTGTAGCCGTGTTACTGAAGTGAGAAATTCAGGGTCGAAGACGGCTTTTTTGGTGATTTGATAGTATTAGATTAAATTGATCTAATCTGAGTCGAAGGTTCAATTATTGTAGGTACCTAGTAATAGGTTAGGTGTGATAAGTGAAAGTGTGCCGATAAGTGATGGATGGTCATTGATACAATGTAGTTTGATAGTACTCCAGCTGTATTAGTTTGGAGTTTAGGTCCAAGCTCAATCAGATGTCTGCGGTTAGTGACGTTGCCTTTTCACGCTTTTCTCCTTTTCTACAGGAGCCGCACCTACTACGTGGGGTTAAGTTTTCGTTAATAATAAGATGGGAAAAGAGAAAAAAAAACATCATTTATCTATCTTATTTGATTTAATTTGATTATTTACAAACTTCAATGGAGAAATGGATCAAAACAGTAAAATGAGACTTATATCTTTTAAAAATGCTATATTAGGAAATTAATTGCATCATATACTGTAAATGCACTGTAAATCAAAGAATGCTTCTACTCTACCACTCACTTCCCTAATGTTCTCGCAGGTTCCATACATCTAGCTGGCTCCAGCCTCGTTTGTCTGCACACAGCAAGAAGTAACAAATAGAAAGTTCGCCAATCCTTTCTTTAAACCCCTCTCAATAATTTCTCTCTTCTACAACCAACAACAATACCAACTCTGTACAAACCTTTTGCTTGATACCCCAATTCAATTTTCGCATCAACAACATCTTCTAGTTCGTTTTTCACACAAAAAGACTTTCAATCACAATGGCTGAATCTACTCCTGAAGGTAAGCTTTGTCAGCTCTTTTCTTTCTTACGAGTGTTGCGATGGAGAGGTTATAGGGCTTCTCTACTGTCACAACACAGAACTCAGTCCTGGTTACTTCAGCTTTTGCTTGGAATTTGTGCCATTTCAAATAAATACCAGTCTTTGCTGGTTTATGTGGCTAGATATGTTTTTGAGGTCAATCTGTTGCATCCATCCCACATTTACTTTTTCAATGAGGGGTACTGCAGGCCGAAGCCTCAAATTCATAAGCAAGAGCCAGTAACTGCTCAGAGCTATTTACTTCATCTCACCCATACACAAAGATATATATCCATATGTATACTCGATCTTTGAACATATCACTAATCAATTAAAAATAGTTCTCTGGGCTCAAAGATCCAACAAGACCGAAGCCGAAAAGAATTTCATCTACTTAACCATCAGCGTTCCCGATGTCAAAGAACCAAAGATCGATCTCAAGTCCCAATCTCTTACATACTCCGGCTACTCCGAGTCTCTCAAGCGTGCATATGCAGTTACCTTGGAATTCTACGAAGAGATCGATGAGAGTGCTTCCAAGTACAACCACACTGAGAAAAACACTCAATTTGTCTTGAGAAAGAAGGAGTTGAAGGAGGAGTTCTGGCCTAGATTATTGAAGGATTCCAAGAAGGTCCATTACTTGAAGACCGATTTCGATAAGTGGGTTGATGAGGATGAGCAAGATGAGGCTCCTGAGGAGGATTTGAGCCAGATGGGTGGCATGGGTAAGTTTTTGGCATTTGGTTGAACATAAAGCTGGGCAACAGACTAATCGATTCTTTAGGTGGAATGCCAGGAATGGGAGACATGATGGGAGGAGCCGGTGGAGATTTCGGTGGTATTGATTTCTCGAAACTTGGAGGAGCTGGCATGCCAGGAATGGGTGGAATGGGCGAGGATGATGAGGGTGAAGATGATGAGGATGACGACGAAATGCCAGCACTTGAAGGGGAGGAGGAAGCTTCCGAAGCGCCAGCTGCTAAGATCACCGAGGTCGCTTAGATGATTTCCTTTATGACGAATGACTCCCAACCTTCATTTCATTCAACTTCATTTCAAGAAAGCAGAGATACAATACTAGGAGTTCTCAGATGATACGGAAGGACTTATATGGATATCTTTTGCTCGATTCATCAGAGTTTTTTGGTGAGAGTTAGGGTACACAGATAGTGGATTCTTTGGTTCGTTTATGGGATGGCATTTTATCAAATTGCTGAATGGATGCACATTGAAGGAAAGAATGGATGAATATGAAATAAAAGTAACGATTTGTCTTTTCTTGATTGGAATTGCCTGTGAGGTGAAGTGAAGTGAAGTGAGGAGATGATTGTGTTCGTACCCTTACTTGAGTGACTACCCGCTACATATGTCTGTCGAAAATACTATAGGTTCCTATGAACCTCTTGCAGAGTTGATAATTGTTCTCCATGCATATCATATATGTATCTAAATCTTTACTATATGATGGCCTAGGTATATGATGTGTTTCAACTATCGATGGATGGGTGATACCTACCTAGTTATCTGTTTTGAGGGGGGATACTAAGATGATGGTTTGAGGTTATGGTATGGAAAGAGTAGATGAGATGGAGAGGATAGATGGCATGACATGGCATGAGATGAGATGAGATGCTATGCTTGAGATGAGAGATGAGAGATGAGAGATGAGAGATGAGAGATGAGAGATGAGAGATGAGAGATGAGAAAAGAGATAGGAATGCTAATCAATTATTTGTAGACACTTTTACTTTTACTTTTAGAAGCATATGTATATGGAATGAATCATAGGTAGGGAGGGTATGGATAGAGGAGAGATGATACATTCATTCGTGGCTTTTTGTAAGATGGATGGATTTTGGGGTGTTGAGTATTTAACTGGGTTTATTGGGCTTTTTGGATATTTTATATATCTATGAAGGCTCACCTCTGCGGGGGTAGGTAGGTATTTGGAGTGAGGGGTGTGGAGGGGAATGTAAGAATACATGTTTAAGTAGATCCAAGATTTGCCAGCTATGATATTTATTATCCAGTTTATTCCTATATACCTATTTTATGCTTATATACTCCCATTTATTCTCTCGTATATTCATCTGATACTCGTTTTATATACTCCATACCTGTAACATTTATATACAGCACCATTAGGTACCTAGGTTTTAAATCCCATTCCGAATTTCCAACGCCCTGCATGTATATATCAGTGCTGCTCTGTCATCTGTTGTACTTCTACACCTTTTCTTTCCATGCAATGCACAACACGGAAACATTATCTCTTCCAGATACTACCCTACCTCGACCTCCTCTCCGTATCTTTAACCGTCCAAGTAACGCCCTCATCCCTCACCCAAGCACCCTCCAAATCTTCTCGAGATGATCCCGGACTTTCGGTTTCTCTATCCTCTCCCCTTGCTTCCTTATTATATTCCTGCTCTTCCAAGAGCACCTCATAACCCTGTTGCGCAGGTCTCCTATCAAACCAATACTGCAATCTTGTACCCTCCCAAAGTCTTTGCCAACCATTTCCCCCACTAACTCCCGTCGCATACGCCCTATCGATTTTCTGCAAACTGCGGTAGAAAAGTGAAAAAGCAAATGCACTATAAGCGAGTCCGCCTAGAAGATCGATCCGCCAATGGTGACGCAAGTACATTGTCGAAAACCACTGCCATAATACGTAGAAGCCGAGTATGAAAGTTCCCTTTCTAGAGTAGCGGCCTACGAAGAAAAAGCAACAGCAGCTGAATGCCCCATGTAGAGAAGGAAATGCGCCGAAAACTAAGGGAGAGGCTTTGAATGCATTGGCGTAAATGTGGGTTCCGAGGACTTTGTCGACGCGCACGAGGCCAGCGGCGGAACCGGGCATGCTGTAGTTTCCAGGTGGGAGAGGATAGCCGTATTGATCGCCATACCAAGGAGCGGCTGAGGGGAAGGAGAGATGGGTAATTATTCCTAGACAATTTTGAATACCGAAAGACCAGGCGAACATAGACACAACTCCCGGGGGTGCAAATAGCCAAAGCCAAAATGCGGCGAGGAAGGGAGATATGAAGTGAATAACACCATACGATAGCCAAGCGAAAACATCAAGGGATTCGGAGAGGTTGTGGGAAAGTGCGTAGAGGATATTAAGGAGAAGAGGAGGTAGTCCAGCGATTATCGATATCTTCTTTCGGGTGAGTGTATACATCCAAAGTATTCCAATAACCGAACAAGTGAATTGTGATGCAAGACCGAACATTGAAAATCCAAAAACTCTTCTATCCAAAGTTTCAAGGTAACTAACATCAATTAAAGGCCGGATTGAGGAATCGATTCGCCATGCTTTGAAAATACAATTAGTATGGAAAGGTATCAATTGAGGGTAGATCTGAATTTACCATTTTTGAAAGTAGTTATCCACATAAGAATAAAAGTCATGTTGATTAAAATATGTCTAAGTAAACCAAAAAATGAATGTCTAGACACATGTTAGTATTTTTCTGATGAGATCATACTGAAAAGTAGAGGGTTTTCCAAAAATTCATTCCCATACCTGTTGAGAAGAGTTCTGTATATGTGAAGAAAGAAACGCCCAACGGCGCCAACGACACCCGCCATGATTAATAGCAAGCAGGTATCAAAAATGAAGATGTATAGAGAATGAAAAAGGAAGATAGAGAATGAAATAAAGATAAAAAAGAAATACTTTAGACCGCGGCCAATAGAGCCCTAAGGAAAGTTAGCAAAGACTAGGATATAGTAGCATTTATGACGTCCACAATTATGTCAAAATATAGATTAGACTGATCCTAAAATAATGCTTAAACCAAATCAAAGAAATGCATGGCATTGATGGCAAAGCTGCCCATTGGATCAATTTCCATTAAGCTATCAACCGACTTCAAATTATTCGATGCTTGTATACATCCGATGAAGTAGGTGGACATAGGGTATGAATGGCCATGCTACCAAAGTAGGTACATACAGACTTCATAGGAACTTTACCTAGTCCATGGCGATTTCCTAACGTTCTTACAGATGATAAGTGATTACTCGTGTGCCATTCAACTTGAAAGGGGGATAATACTCAGTACATCCATACATTACATTATGGTAACATAACATAGCATGTCGAGTGTACGGAGTATGGAATATATAAAGGAGAGCACATGTTCCACGACACCGATGGAAAAGTTAAACAAAGCAATAAAGGTATAATAAAAGTAACAAGCGTCCCATATTGAGGGGTCCAAATTAGCCTGTCTCGAGCCAGTATTGATAGTATCGTATCGAGCCCGTATTGATAGTATCGATGTGCATATCATGTTAGGGGAATAATATGAGTGGGAACTCAAGGAGATTGCCAGTTGTGCTTCCTCGGGAATCCGGAGCACTGCAAATTGGCCGACCCATTATTGAGTGGTTGGGATAGAGGTGGTTAGGTAATCAAATGGAAAATGGGAGGATATCTTGTCCGAGAGCTTGTTTATAGTTGACTCGTGGACCAAAGTAGGAAAAGATTTAAGACAAGTACATATGTGAGAGAACATGTAACTGGATTAGACGGGATACGCGTATGGATACCAGACTTGGATCGGGCAACTGATTCGCCTTCAATTTCCAATTCGTCTTTGAATCCTCCGTACTACCTTATCCCCTCGCTATATACTTTCATCTCGCAGAGCATGCATAAACTGCTGCGGAATAGGAGTAGCTCGTAGGTTTTGTCTATACCTAGGTAGCGAGGGTATGTACATCGTGGGCATGTAGAATTGAACCAGTACAAGGATCGAATAGATGGCCTGCTCCTTATAAACCGGTATCATGAATTGAGCGTCGGATTCGGACTCGCGTTTTCGTACCGAGTTGTCTCCTGTTTTTATCTAGTAGCTACCTAGTAGGGAAATACTAGGTAGGCTGTAGGTTGTAGCAGATCTTGACCTTAATATAAAGTTTTAAGTACAAAGTAACCTTATCCGAGTAGTGTAGCCCATATCTAGAAGGTTGTCGCGTGGTTGAGATCTTCTTACCTTGGGTGAGGGTAGGTAAATCATCGTTCAAGGGCGAGCGAGGTTCAAGACGACAAAATATAAACACAATACCAATCAGAGTAGAAACAAAATAACAATAACAATGGCAAGAACAATAATATAGTAACAAATATAGTAACAAGCCTTTCAAGATCTGGTGATATTTTGGTTGCAGATTCACAGCCTTGTCATGGCTAACGCCTTCCCGCTTAATAGCCTGTTGTGGATAAGGTAGAATCTTCATGTTCACATACGGTAACCTCAAAGAACCTTGGAATATATCACGTCGCCACTTCAGAGAAACCCACCAATTGCTACACAACATTCATCACCCTCAATATCTTTTAATCATGGCAACAGCACAACCAGGTCAAAGCAAATATGTAACCCTCGTGTCTTGCGATGGATTCGAGTATGTTGTTTTGAGAGAAGCTGCCTGTACCAGTGTTGCGATCAAGAAGATGTTGGATCCGTCCAGTTTGTTTGCCCCTCCTTCAACAAATCTAACTTTGCCCATGGTTAGTGATTATCATACTTGAACCAATACTTATTTCATTCATGTACAGGTGGTTGGGAAGAGTCTCAGACAGGAATCTGCCGTTTCTCAGAGATCAGGTATGCCTAACTTTTTCCTTCTCTGAAGTCCACATACAACACGATTCTTCGATAAACAACACAAGCAACACAAACACGACAATGCTTTGGATACTCTGAATATTCTGTGGCATCCAGCAAAGAATAAATGGGCGTCTGTGATGATAGAAGCTATTTCGATACAGACCCTCTTTTCCACTTTGGGATTGCCGTGGACTGAATGGCCGTTTTTTACACTTGATCTGAGACCCGCTTTAAGCCGACTTAAAATTTCTGCCAGATTTCTTTTCTCTTCCACCTCAAGAGCTTTGCTTCCTTCCTCATCCATCCACCATCAACCATCTAAAACTTAGATGAATGGCATTATATGATTAGCCTGCCTTCAATGCCAACATCAACATCATCTTGTCTAACATGGCTTTGCTATAAAACATCATTCAAATACTAACTATGACTTCGAATAGTGGTGTCGTCCTTGAGAGGGTCGCCGAATACTTTTACTACAACTACAAGTATCGTAACTCGGAGAATGTGCCAGACATGGAAATTCCTGCAGAGTTGTGCCTAGAGTTATTGATGGCAGCCGATTACTTGGACAGTTAGTACTCGATTACTCGGTCTTGTCGACATTCTTTACTAACGCTATCCTTTCAGCATAATATGTCTCCTCTCAAATCGGTCTAATGGCTACGATGGCGTTTGCGAATACTCGGGATGGGGAAACATAAACATGGGAATATGGCGTCGATAAGAAATGAATTATTCGACCTACTATCTTTTCATGAATACTTTTGAGGATGTGTCTTCGTGCACCCCATTTGAGCATATGCGGTTTTCCCTAATACACCCTGGGTTCACACGTCTATAGATGATGGCAGATCAAATCTTTACTTCCTCACATAACTCCTACCTCCTCTTCTTCAAAGGAACGTAGGTTTAGATGATGGAAACAAATGCATTCCCATTTTGCATATTTTATTCGGGGTCACCATGTATTTTATTTTCTACTTCTCACTAGGTTGAGGACTGGAGGATGTATAGCTTCTTTCAATCAGAATTAAAAATTCAATACATTTTTTCCAACTACTACTGTGCATGGCATATCTTTCGACATGTGATTTGATCGATTGACCTCAATTTCTTTCCATGTTGCATTACCTACCTACTTAGGGACTGTCAAGAAAGTACCTAGGTAGACATCGTTCAACTTCACGTTACATCTGGGAAATCAATTACCCTAGGAAATCATGCTGTCGAGCCGTTTCGCTTCATGATTATCATCACCCCCCATCCTCACCATCTGGAAGTTCAGGCGAAGTTAATGTCAACACCTCCTTCGCTTGAGATCAAGACACCACGGATGTATCATTAGGCGAAGTCCTCCGTGTTTCACAGGTAAGAGTAACCACCATCTCGTCTTATGTCGCATTGTGTTCATCTCTATAAGTTGAGATGATCCCGGCGGACGTGTATTGTGGGCTGTATTTTTTTGTTCCTTTTCTGAGCGCTAGTCAACTTTGAGTTTGAAGATTCAAATTTAATTGTTTTTGCATGATTTTTGTTGTTTTGCAGATTTGATTTAGTGCGCATTGTACACATACACATTCACTTCCATAGACTCTACAATCATGAAAACATCAGCTATTCTACTTCTCGCCATTCTCGGCATGACATCCGCTTCCGTTCTCAGCACTACGAATGTAGCCACCGTTCTTGCGGGAGTGACAGCCCCATCCTCTCTCGCCATACCGGCCGATGCTATGGTAGCTATCACTAAGCTTGGTACTGGCGGTGCAAATGCTGCTTCATTGACCGCTGCCGAGACTGCTGCCATCAGCGCTTGTACAGATGCTGGCCGAGCGAAAAACACAGCCTCAAAGGCCAACCTCAATGATGGGACTGGAAGTGCGGGAGCTATTGCTTTGTAAGTTTGGAATTTCGCATCATCCTTCTGAAAAGGACTTGGAACGAGATGTAATAAAGATGATGCTAATGCCAGTACAGTGTAACGAATAAAGTTACGACTCACGCATGCGAAACTGCTGATCAACAAATAGCACTGGTTACTTCAGGGACAGCGGCAAGTGATACAGATGTTAATCTTTTAATATCAAATGTGGGGGTTTTAAATGTAAATACCAAGGCTGCGGGGATAAATTCGAAGCGTGCGGTGGCGTTTGCGAGTTAAGGGTTTTTTGTTTGGCAGTATTTACGATGATAAACATGATTTCTATCGCCGGCTTTAAATATTAATACAAAGATACCTTATGAGTGCCGTTCATTTATTCTTTCGTGCTTCATCTATCTAATTTTGATGATCTTACAATTGATATCAATTGCCAGGACTTTTTGCCGAGATCGGGAAACCCCACTTCTCAAGCGCCGGCGGGGTATGCGGCTAGGTATCGCGAACGTGCCGGCAATTCAAGAAGAGAAGATATGTAACTCATTGCTATCGATCAATGACCTAGTGCTTCTATTCAATAATATATCAGATCCTCTTTACTTCTCTTCTACCTCCTATCATTTACTTTTTTTTCTCGAAATACTCTTTAAAATCTAAAATAAACAACCACTACTATCTTCCCTCTTGCCACAACAATGGGCGAAATTCAACATCTATCAACAGATCAACACTATAAGGAAATAGCCACAATTGCTCAAAAACGTCGAGCTGATGCTTTACCTAAAGAATATCTTCTTCCTAGAGAAGTCTTGGAGAATCTTCCACGAAATGTTACCAATGTTCCAAGATCATCTGGTCATTTTACCTCGGAGGAATTAGAAATTATTGAAACGACTGCGGAAGATATACTTAAGAAAATTAAACAGAGGATATGGACATCGGTAGAAGTTACCAAGGCATTTTCTAAAGCTGCTGTTGTTGCTCATCAATTGGTTGGTTATCTTATACCCCCAAACCAAACGAAGATGCCTACTGAGCATGATCACAGACAAATTGTTTAACAGAAATTCTCATTCCTGAAGCTATCAAACGAGCAGAATTTTTAGATGATTATCTCGCCAATAGTGGTGAAGTAATAGGTCCACTCCATGGTCTTCCAATATCTCTCAAAGATTGCTTCATAACACCACCTCATCCATCTTCTATTGGTATGGCATGTTATGCCAATGTTTCCACCAACCCAGAAGATGAAACTGTTTTAGTATCTTTATTAGCAAAACTTGGAGCCATTTTTTATGTCAAGACAGCAGTACCGGTGGCAATGATGATGATGGAGACAATTTCGAATGTATGGGGTGAAACGAATGGTGCATATCATACAGGCACCACTTCAGGAGGAAGTTCGGGAGGTGAAGGTGTACTTTTGGCTATGAGAGGCAGTCCGTTGGGAATTGGAACGGATATTGGAGGTAGTATTCGGATTCCAAGTGCTTTTAATGGTCTCTTTGGTTTGAAACCTACGTATGTATACATGATATCCTTTCATAATAGACGGAAATATTGACAACACACCATTAGTTTCGGAAGATTCCCCATCTATGGTACTAAATCGGGTATATCGGGACAAGATTTCATCTACTCAAATAATGGCCCCATGTCCAAATCCCTCTCAACCCTCCAACTATACTGTAAAGCCTTTCTATCGACCTCTCTCTCACCCTGGCTATACGATCCTAAATGTCTCCCCATTCCCTGGCGCGAAAACACCATCCAGCCTCCCGGTCGCAAACTCTGCATCGGAATCATCTCCGACAACGACGGCGAAATCAGTGTTCATCCACCTATCGCTCGCGGTTTGGCACTCACAAAAAAAGCCCTCGAAGCAGCCGGCCACGAAGTCTTCGAATGGGAACCTCTCGATCATCCGGAAATGGCAAAAGAAATGAATGATTCATTCTACACTCTCGGCGGTGCCGCGATCCTCGAATTGACGCGTAAACACGACGAGCCGGTCTTTGAAAGTATGAAAAATTATGAATTTGCCTATGATCAGGGTGAACATGGAACACTGGGACCTACAAAACTAAGAGAAATGATTACCCGCAGAAATGCTTTTCAAAAAGCATATCTCGATCGCTGGACTCGTACTGGAGATGATGGAAAAGGAGTTATGGATGCGATTATTATGCCTGCGAGTCCGTGGACAGCCCCGAGACTGGGGATTACGCAGACGGAGATCTTTTGTGTGAATTATACGGGAGTGTGGAATTTGTTGGATTATCCGGCGTGTACGTTTCCGGTGGGGTTTGCGGATAAGGAGGTGGATGTGAAGAGAGGGGGGGAGTGGAGGGGGTTGAATAAGAAAGATGAGGCGTTGCAGAGGGATTATGAGGAGGAGTTTTATCATGGGACGCCGGTGGTGCTGCAGTGTGTGGGGAGGAGATTAGAGGATGAGAAGGTGTTGGAGATGGTGGGAGTGGTGGGGGAGGCGTTGAGGGGGTTTGGGGGTTGATGGAGATGGGAGATGGGAGTACACTCCATCATCACCACCACCACCACCACCACCTACCCAGGTAATCACAGCAAACCAAGAAGACACGTAATCAACACCTCACAAATCTATCACACACTCAATACACAGGGAAAAATCACTTGAATGATAATTCAAGAAAACGGGAAAGAGTGTTTTGATCAGTATTTTTGTTATTTATTTATTTTCAACTTTTTTTGCTGTTTTATTATTTTCATCTTTTTTTGCTGTTTTATGATTCCTTCCGCCAAGATCCCCACCTTTTCCCACTTTATGATTCCTTTCACCAGGAAGGAACGCCAGGAAATCGGAATCAGGAATCACCATCGCCAGAAAGGAGTGCCAGGAAGAATCGGAAAACGTATTTGACGAGCCACAATGCATTGTGTTGTGGTTGACCTTATCGCGAAGTGAGGCTGGAAAACTGTAGAGATCGAATAGTTTCAATGGATGTCGTAAACGTCGAAGAAGGAAGAGAGCGGAGCTATACCAGGCAAAACGGCAACGGAAACGGAAACGAAAAGGCAAGAACCAATAAACTCGTAGCGGAATATCCAGGACCAGGGGCAGAAATATGATCATGAAGTCTTGCAGCTAACAAACGACGCGTATGAATCCGCCGCTGTGTGCTGCGACTGATGGTGTTGAGACGAGGGCAAGATGAATTTGCGTACACATCGTGGCGGGATAACATGCCGTTTGTGCGGAGAGTAGATACTTCGGATGATCGAATATGGATATGTAATTTCTGTATATTGTCGCCTGTGATATGATACTTCGCCATGAGGAAATCAGGAAGAAGAAAAAAGAGTCAGGTGATGGGTGATGCTGGTTCAACAGTCATTTCCAATCGGCAGGGGATTTTTCAGTTCGCTCAAAAGAGATCGTGTTTGGACCATCTTCTGTTGCTTTGCGCGTCTCTTATCTGATGCATGCGGTCCGCGAACAAGAAGATTCTCAATCTCTTCCAACTTCACAAATCTCGTTCCGAATCGTTTTCTTTCTTCTCTTTCTCCTCGGCTTCACTTCTCCTTTCAAAAAAAAGGAAACAATACTGCTTCTCTCGATCTTTGAACTCGTAACGAGCTTTGCTCTTCTTCAATGACCTGCATTTCTCTTCGGAGCATCTCCGCTTCTCTTTCGTGCATCTCCTCTTCTCTTCGGAGCATCTCCGCTTCTCTTCTATGCATCTCCGCTTCTCTTTCGTGCATCTCCTCTTCTCTTCTAAACAACGCTGCTGATTCTGCTTCTTGTAAAGCACCCTTCTCTCTCTGAGATCGCTCCGTTATATGCGCCGTAAAATTCTTTTGTGTCCATTTCTTTATCTTTCCATCAATAAATTCTTCTTTTCTCGCCACCTCTTCCAATCTCTCTTCCAATTTCTCATTCAATATACGAAATTGATTCGCAAACTCTGCCTTCCTCTTCATCAACTCTGCAATCTCCCTTTCAAGTGTCATTTTTTTCTTGAGAACATCTGTTTTCGTCTTCCCCTCTTCTGGCGCATTTCCGTCCAAACCTAACAACTTGGATGCGGCGACTCTATCTGATTGACTGACGTCTGTTCCTTGACTGTCAACTATCTTGAACAGCTTGATCCTTTCCAAAACCATAGCCTTAAAATCGGCAGCTTTAGCCTTACGACGTAAATCAGCAATTTCGCTCGGGAGCTTTGAGTAAATGGAATCATCATCTAGAGCGTTTGTTCCTCGCATTTTGAGTCGGAATAGAAGAGATACGATCAGAAATGAAAGTAAAGAGTATATTTGAATTTGAAAGTGATAGTATAGATTGTAGGCGTGGAGGTGTATGTAATGTAGAGTGAAAGGTAGGATGGAGTGGAAATAGAATGTATGATTAGAATTAAAGGTAAACGAGTTTATTATCAGATCCTAGAGTAATAGTGATATGATGATTGGAATTATGTGTGTATATGTGTATGTGCAAGAAGTAATGAGTGTAAATAAGAAGTGATAAGTGTATATGTGTAAGAAGTAATGAGTCCAAATAAGAAGTGACAAATGTGTGAGTGGATGCGAAAATATTACAGAAATCTATTGTTCGCTGTTCCTCGGGTTGATGCGAAGGGCGTTGGGAAGCTCCGAGCAAAAGCTTGTCGAAGTGGACAGAATTTGGTGTACACGAAGAATTGATAATGAAGAAGAAGAAATGAAGAAAATAAGAGGAATGTGGGAGAGCAATGCATTTTTATAGTATTTCGGCTTTCGAGCTAGTGATACCTTAAAGCTACTGAGGAAAAATGATCAAGCTAGGAAATCATATCCAGCAATCATAACCCTCGAAGATGGTGTCAGATGTGCACTTTAGTCGTATAAGGAAAGGCGAAGTCTTATTACATCATGTCATTTGAACATCGACTAGATCTAAAATCACAAAATGGTGAAGTAACCAGTTATGTATCGATACCAGTCGATCAGAAGTTGGAACTTCATACAATGGTGGAGCTCTGACAGGAGAAACCTTGGAAGCAACATGGTAAAGTATAATTTAGTCGACGACAAGATGAGCAAGAAGGTGCCGCGTCTCTTGGTATCCAATATTTCTGACTAACAAATGGATGAAATCGAAACATTTCGTGGTAAATAGCATCAATCGATAATACCACTCTTCTCTGACAAATTGTTCAGTAGCTTGGGGGCTTGGAGTTAGATCATGATAGATTTTCATTGGGAGAGGACGAAACTTTCCGAGGCAAAATTGTACACTGTAGTACATTTGATCTCAATAGCTTTTGAGGGCAACCTAACATGAGAAACCCAAATTGGGTATGAATCTAGAAGAAGTGAGGCACATTATCAAGAATTGACGATGTTTTCAAGATTTAGACGTGCCCAGACTCCAATTGTTGTCTCCGAGGAAAAAGGTTAGCGTGGTACTTTATCGCGCTACTTCGAACTACGAAGCTTTAAACAATTTTACAATGTCATTAACCAATCAATATGCATTGTTTTCCGAATAAACAAGCCGAGACTTGGTGAATGCACAGATATGTGTTAACACTTGAAGGCATACGAAGTATGCGGCTGATTGAAAGATGCGTGTACCCCACTTAGGATATTATAGCTTCAACGCTGTCGATGTTTGACTTCTTGACATATCGAGGTAGAGTAACTAAAATAGAGTTTGCATCCTCTTGTTCGTGGTTTTTATCCCATGTCAAATCATGATATGTTAACATGGTATCTTTTTGCGATTTCGTGGTATTACGTGAGCATTTGATCGAGAGAGAACGTCGAACACTAAATACAAACCGAACTTATGCAGACCAAATAACGAAAGCTTCATAGCTTGAGCTTCATTGTATCAGAGCAAGTGTTTAATTGTTGTTGGCTTGTGTCATGGAATTGAAAAGTAAGTGCATACGTTGGAGATATGTCGTTGTCCTGAGTTATCTAGCGTATGAAGTAAACGCAAAAGACAATATTATCGACCATAACAGAGGGCCAATAGCCGATGTCCGATTGAGGTCACCCCCACATTTTAATCCACAAATGCATATATATGGGAACCACATTGGCTTGGGCTTGAAAAATAGGATTATATACTAACATTGAGCTGGAAATCTACAGCAAAATAAGCAAACAGCTCAATAAGCTACCTAGCTTCTGTGGTCCAATGGTTAGGATTCCACCCTTCCAAGGTGGAGGTTCGTGTTCGATTCACGGCAGTTGCAAAATCCTTATGTTTTTGGGTTTTTGAAAGCTTTTAAACTTTTATATGCAGTATGTATGGTATAGGATTTGACTACCTTGACAGGAGATCGTCTCTCTACTTATTTAGGGGAGGTATTCTTTCTTTCCTTTTGCGACAAGGTGCATTTCTTGTTTCGGAGATATCTTGTATATTTCATTGGTAGGCTGAGTATCAAGAAAGTAGACGAAAAAAGGAGTAGCAAGTTTAGTTGAATGCCGGGTGTATTCAACATTTCCATTCTTTTACTTTTTTTACTTTTACTTTTGGTAATTACTAGCTATCACAACAGTTTCCTGTTTTCTTTTTTCTTTCGGTGGTGTGGGGTTCAGCTTCAATTTCATAGTGGAATAATTGATAGTGTACCAGTAATATCTGTACTTTACTAGCGAAATCACAAGCAAGAAGTTCCGATAGAATGATTTTTGCGACCAATGGATAAGAAGGTCTATACAAGGACACTTACTGCCTTGGTTTCACAAGCTTCTTGTTTATTACGAAAATCACGAAAACAGTCAAGGAGTCAGCGACAACGAGTATCCAGGTATCGTAAAATTGGGTATAAAACTATCCAATACTACTTACTAGTCAATCCAATATCTCTAAACACATCCGAAATCATCGATCGAAATGCATACTAAGCAGTTCCTTCCTTAGAAGCAGCCGCAATACTGAATTGTCCCTCGCCTCGTACTTTCCCACCTTCTCCAGCTGGATATCTAGCCTCATATCTGAGCGCTCTCCCTTCGACTTTGGCCACTAATTCATATTCAACTCGATAATGTTCCTTCCCTTCCATACCTTCTTCAGGGTATACAGGTTTGATGATACCTTTGTCGCGGAGAAACGTCATATCTACGATGATGCGGCCGGCGATTTGTGCGTCTAGTTTGTGTTAGTATGACATAATGATTAATTCACGTGAAGTTTACGGTTACTTACCAGCATTTTTAAGATTCCTGCGACTGTAGTGAGATTCTGTAGCGGTGTCAGAAACATAGAGAATTTCTTCACAGAGGAATTTCTTTTCGTCGATTGGAAAAGTGTGATAGGTAGGAAATAGAGAAAATTGATGGTCTAGACGGATTGAGTTTCCCTATTGATCATCAGGACGAATGTCAAGAACATTAAATGACTCAACATATTACCTTGACCATGAAGTAATCGATTGTGGCTACATATTTTTCACTATCCAATTCACTCTCATCTGGCCTGGCACTTTCATGCCCGGGATATGTTCGAGGTTGCCATGGCTCATGGCGGAGGAAACCATAGCTTGATTGGGAAATTCTTTGGGGCCCATTTTTCTTATCAAGAGCACGAAGAACAGCACCCGATGCTACAGCTGTAATGCTTTAAATTGTCAGCTTGTTGGGCAGGCTAAAAGATATTGATCTCACCATTTGTGCCTATCTGCTACCAATTCGATATTTAATTTAAGTTTCGCAGATTCGTCTGCAAGCCAGTGCTTGAGATAACTTCTCAAGGAAGAACCACCAAAGCCACCAACGAGGAATACTTTCTTTGAGAATTCAGTAAGATAATCACTGGGTTGCTTTTAGTAGTCTTGGGACATACCTTGACCACAAGTTTTTTTTCTACAGCTTGTCGAATCTGGTTCTCCAGCAAATTTGAGATACGTTTAAGAAGAGGAAAGAAGATTTTTTTATAATCACTCCTGAGACCATGTTAGTGAAATTGTTTTGGTCAAACATGGGCGGGTTACACATACAAAGTCATGTGTAAATAATTAGCCTCGAAACGCTTTTCCGCTAGACCAACGCGATTCATTTGTTCATCACCGCGCAAGCCAGCTATATAAACCCTGTGACCACACCTTTTCATGACATTAACTCGTCTCTTGTATTCATTCTCAAAGTCTGGTATCAATCGATTGACGATCGACTCAAGGTTATCGCCATTCCTGAAGAGATAATCTTCGTCTTGGAGGCGATTAAGTAACATGTCTTTATAATTGTCATTAAGATAGCTGGAACCGCAATTATCCCCTAAGCTCAAGAATTAGCTTTATGAGATTCTTGAAGAACTGCTTCAACTGACCTATAGGCTGGATTTTTTCGTCCTGCAGACGTAGCGGATACCGATTGCTGACTCCATATGTGACGACATCGACAGTTCCACCGCCGCAGTCAGCGATAATGAAAGTCTCACCAAGCTATACCATTATTAGCTAAGGGTTTGAAAATGTGCCAACAAGACCTCACAGAAATATCCTCTGAACTTTCCAAGAGGAACGTAGCGGCAGCTTCAGGCTCAGAGATGAGGAAAAGATTGTCCGCAGTTGTTCTCCAAGGATTTCCGAAGGTGGTCGCCTGAATGGCTGTCTTGACAGACGTTTGAAGTACACGGGAAGCTTCTGGGGACCAGACAGTAGGTACAGTCATGACGAAATCCACAGGGGTTTTATCAGTGAACCCATGAAGTTTTTTCAATTGTTCTTTGGTATGCTGTAATACCTTCACGATATAATCTGAGATTGGATCAACAGCATCCCACATATCAGATTCGGTTTTGGATCGTATACCGTGTCTTCGTATGATGCCTTCCTTGAGAAGGCCAGTTAATGTGCTTCGAAGACCCTTTCGATCTTCATTAGTGTACTCGGTTTCCACCAACATGAGTTTAGCTCTCTTCACGAGACGTCTCTGACTTCGTGTTGAATTTGCCTTGTACATTTGATATGGTACGCTGTACCCCCAAAGAAAATCGACAGAAAGTTCATCTTCCATTTCCGAATCTTCGGGCTCATTGATGGTGTCTCCACCTACTCCACCAAGAAGCAATGGATGTTGTCCTTGAGATAAATCGAATAGATTCTCATCAAATATCTGATCTTCATCGTTCCGATGCCGCTCGACCGGCTCTGGTGAGTACCAACTCTCTGTTGGAACTTGCTTCCTCTGGCCATCTTCTCCGTCGCTTGGCCAGTTGATCACACTCAAGATATCATTAGCAGAGCCTTTCATATTACCACAGTTGATTGGAACAATGCTGTAAGAGACAGATGTGAATGTAGTTCCATAGTCTAAACCAACAACAACTTTGTCTGTTGGGGTAATGAGGTGTAATCGCATATTGGAACTCCGCACCGATATAGCAGCGCTTGGGGTCGGAGAATGCGTCATCCTGCTGCCTTGATTTTGTGACTCGCCTCCACGTCGAGCTGGCACTGTCTGTCTGGAGACATTGCGATTCTTCAACCCCGAAGGATCTCCTCTTGTTGCCATATTCTTTGACATTTCATAGGCTCCGAAAATTTGACTTTTAGCCCGTAGAAGTATAAGGATGTATAGCCAAGCTTTGAATGATGCTTCAGAGATAGAGAAATTAAGAAAACGAGAGGGAGATGCGCCTCATGTGGTTTATTATCTTCATATTTCGGGATAAGGCCGATAGAACGGAAGCCTGCTGCGGATTTGAATATGCAAGTTCTTAGGCCTCGTTTTGAAAAATAAACAGAAGTGATATATCAGCAGCTACGATTCCTATTGGAGGTCGGCATCTTGCAGAATGAATCGTAAAAGGTACTTTATAAGGCATATCTCCAAGGTAACAGGGAAGTAGGCTACCTTGAATAAAAAGTAATATACCTCACAAGATCATCCAAGAGAAGAAGGAAGTATCATTTTATCCTTGGAGTAACAAATGTGGGAGCGGGGTATGTACTGGAGAGGCAGGGGCATGATCGGCTCTGGTACATATTTTCGGATTATATCATCCGTATACTTATGACTGTGGGGTATTGGTGCGATTCGAACAGCAAACTTAAACATTAGATTGAATTTTTCGTTTCGAGCAAACGGATAGATACTATCCATACAAACAGTACTAGGCGGGAGAAGTGATCTGATAGGATGGACGCTCGGATGCAAAATGAGTTGCCGCAGGAGGGACGCCACATCTTTCAGGTATGACGAAAACACTGGCATTTATTTCTATCCAAAATTCTATCAGATTCACAAAATTTGGAATTGCAAACTTACTGACAATGAGAATGCGCTTGGTGGCTGGGATTTACACGATATTGGATTTATCTGTCCGCATATACCTCAAACACCTATCACGAAGATTCAAAATATTGAATCCGATACCAAACATGACGCCCTTGATCTGGAACAAGGAGGATGATATTGAGCTACTTGCTTGGATTGACTTTTGCAAGCTGCATAAAGCAGGAGCCGAGGAAGACACACTCGACCACATGATTGAGCACTCCCGCTTCACCAGTCGCGATGCAGTGACGGAACATCTAAGCGATCTATGGGAAAGATTTGGTGATCAGAGTGAGGACTCGGATCAAATAATGTCCCTCGCTGATATGATAAGTAAAGGATCTGCTTACATGACCAAGCTTCCAGGCGAGATGCGCGAGAGCATTAGAACGAAAGTTGACGGCAATTCCAGCGATTCATTAATGCTGCTCATTATTTCAAAAATGGAGGGTCATAGAAAGCAGAAGAAAGCCACGAAGAATTCGAGGGACCTCCCTCCAATGGAGGAGAATGAGAGGGGACTTAAGCGTAGCAAGAAAGCCAAGAAAGCAGACGAGGATCTCCCACCTTTCAAAAAGCCTCGCTCGAGCAAGGTATGTACTTTTCTTGTCATTAGCACATAACGTTGATTGATCTGGTGCATAGGATAAAGTATCTGCAAAGACGGTTGAAGCTGATATTATGAACGGAGTTGTAAATTCCCGATTGCCAACCCAAAAACCGGCAACCACTTCAACCGAAGCTGCAGTTTGCAATGGCGGAGAGCTCACAAGAGCCAGATCTCAAGCACTCCAGTATAATCTGCTAGGCCAAACAGCAAATGGAGATAGCTGGCCAAAGCGTCTGAGGTCATTGGAGAAGAAACATAACCAAGAGATAGTTCAAATGCAAGAGCTTTGGCAAGCAGAGTCTGAGAAGCTCAGCATAATGGAAGTCGAGGCCCAAGGAACGATCAGAGATTTGAGGGCACAATTAAAACACCTGAATGAGGCACGAAGGGTTCGTCAAGAGGAAGAACAAAGAGCTTTAGAACGCGATGCCCATGTTTCATTAGAAACCCGACAATTTGAAGACCTTGAGGAAATCTACCGATTGACCAAAGAAAATAGAGAAATGCACAAGTTTTCTGAGTTTGCCGATTTAGATTTACCAGGAAGCCTGAATATAGGACACGACACGATCGACGATGCAATAGATCAGATACAATTCGAACTCTCCTCCATCTCTTGTCATCACATCAATACTCCGCAACTTTTTCCCAAGATATTTTCAATGCCAAGCGATTTGCGTAACCTTATACTTTCGGCTTTCAATAGTGACATCGAAACCGCCATTGGGAGAAATGAAGTCGAGATTATTACAAAGAAATTCGGTGCTCAAGTCTGCATCAGAGCTCTTGTGTTGGCTGCGCTGAGAGATTGGGTTTTCATGTCAAGGTTTCCAAACTTCGCCCCTTCAAACCCTCGCATTCTATCAAGTTATAGGCACATTATCTCCAGTTTAGGTGAGAGTCCCGCCGTTAATAACAATGCAGAGTATTAACTTTATAGGCGGGGAAAGCAAGCTTTCTAGCTTGGACATAGCAGCTCATCGCGCTCTCATCGAAGGAAAATGGCTCAAAGAGGAATCAATACCTAAAAGAGCCACAGATCTAGCGGCCAGGTTCTCTAATGCAGTCGCTCCCTTGTTCGCAAGCACACCATACAATTCAGAAGATGGATTGTTCCACACTTGGGGGGAGAAATCAGAATGTTGGAAAGACAGGCGAGCACATCTGCAAGATATTTTCCAGACTGCATTAAGCTTGAAAGCCGATTCTGTTGTAACAAAGTCCCGGTATGGATTTGAAATCTATCCGCCAGGTACAACATTTGTTGAGGATGAAAGAAATGTGAAAAAAACAAGCAGGCCTAATAATTGCAGTAGTTGGATGCATGCATCATTCCACATCTACGACGCAGTAATTTTTGGCAATAGCAACCAGAGAACGTTAGTGCAAACGGAAAATTTCGTCAGGTTGTCCGAAGCAAGGGCGAGTGCAAAGTACAGTAAGGATTTGCTGTTTCCCAAAAGATCGCCTGAAGTTGTTTCCAGTCGTATTACAGAGGTCGCGGAAACTCCGATTCTCAAACAGAAAAGTACGGGTCAATCAAAAGTCATCGTAGGAGCTGAAGCCTCTCCAACACCACCGGTTGCCGAAAATGATGTTGAAAGTTTGAAACTACAAAGATCCGCTGAAGCAGAAGATGATGCGGAACCTGACCATAGTGAAAATCGACCTCTTCCACGATGCGAAGAATGTGGCAAAGAGTTTCAGGCGATAGCTCTACTTCGTAGGCACGAAAAGAACAGTGAGTCGAGTTTGATCTTTTGTTACAAGCTTTGTGGTAACTTCAAATAGGAAAATGCACAGAGTGCCCAGAGTGCGGTAGAAGATTTGCCCGAGTCGCTGCTCTACAAAGTCACCAAAAGGCCGAGCATAGCGAATATCGTGCGCCCAGACCTGAGGAACTGCCTATCGAGCCGAGACGGGCACACCCTGAACCGGGCACCTTAGTGAGCCAGAAAAACAATCAATGCCACAAAAAGGTTGTAACTGCTGAAGCTAAAGATGCCAGCCCGAATCGTCAAGGGAATGAGAATCGTACGGAAAATCAACCCATCAAAGCGCCGCGAGCAGTTTCGCTGGTTGCGTCAAAGGATAGACCGGCACAAGTATACCACGATAACTCCAGACAGAAAACTCCCAAAGGTGAAATCGTTAACTCTAAGCCAAAATGTGATCTTTGCGGTACCGCGTTCTCGAGTAAAGAGAGTCTACAGCGCCATGTTAGACGAAGTGAGTTTCACGCTCCATGAACCTAACCAGTATGTTGCTGATATTAATTGCTAGATGTCTGCTCACTCGAATGTCCAGAGTGCGAGGAAAATTTTGCAAGCCTCGAAGAAAGACGTTACCACCAGCGCAGGGAGCATAAGTCGGTAGAAAAAAAGCCAAAAGATCTAACAATACCTGAACCACAAGCTCCGTCGACCCCTCTCAAGAAAAACGACAAATCGCAGACTTCAAATCAGAGAGCTCCGTCCTCGAATAACATTCAAAGCCACGACAAAGGTATGTCTTCCACCCTTCTGCATCAATATCTTCTTTGCTATACAACGACTGATAATCTGAAAGATGGTAAGCCTCGCTATAAGAAAACACCACGCAGAGAGACCGAGGATTCAGATGCTGATGACATGCTTTCTCCTTCGGAAATGGTAAAAACAAAACGTGCTCAGAGGAGAAGATCTACTAGATCTTCAGATGGACGAGCTGAAGCAAGGACGATTAATAACCAGGAATCACCAGTTCAACCCCGTGAAAAGCGAAATAAGACTCCAGCAATGAAGAATGATTAAGGTGGTTTGCAATCCTAAAGGACCGGTGCTTCGAGGTTGTTTCTCTTTCTCTTGCCTTTTGTAGACTAGAAAATGGGATATCGACAAAATGGGGATGAGATCCAGTTGGAGCTTCGAAAGAATTGGTCATATTGTGTATCTAAAAGGGAGGAAGAAACCTTTGTATCGACGAAGAAGGAGAACAGGAATAGCGGCCATTCATTTTGTTGCCTGAATTGTATCATTACACACAAATTCGGAACTATCGTTATAAACTCCATTGATTTTGAAGTTTGAGGAAGTACGAGATATGGATATCAACGTGAAAGTGGATGTGGCGTTTGTGGCGCATAGATAAGCCACCCGGACATGAAACGGTCATCCAGATTCGGAAGCAAGCTAGCAATTCTTTGAGCTTTTGAAGATGTGCTTGAACTTGACGTAGTGCAGCCTGAGAACAGTGCAGAAGCCAGGGCAATATCAAGATATTATGTTGTCCTCCCGGTGTAAGATACGAAAATATCTCCGCTCCTATTGTAAGCATCGTATAAGCGAAAAAGTTAGAACTGCTCCGGACTCCTTTAGGAACTCATCGAGGAGTTAATCTGATTGGCCGTACAACAAAATCCAAAGGTTAATTGAACCAATGAGAGTGAGTTTCAATGTTGGACTGTAGGATTTGTAGATCTCATTGATTTCCCGACCATAACGTTTCTGACCTTCTAGCTACAATCAGCAACTTGGTACATGCTATATTGAGATGAGTCAAATATTTTTCTGCTCCTTTCCCGTGGAACCTACAGGTGGCAAATCCATATTTAAACATAAACCCTCCTATTTGAACAAACATGAACTACAACCTTCCTCATTCAATCATTGAACAACATCCCGCAGATTTAGTGGCATCGCACTGTACATAATACACCTGTACCCCGCACTAAGAGCATTTCCCAGGTTGTTTCAGAATCTCATAAATCTGGTCTGTTGCCACTTCCACCACTACAGTTTGAACATATTGCTGTTCTTCATTCGCTCCACAATGTCCCATAATGAAACAGGTCGTCTTCGTACCGGGGAGTTGGAAATTGGATACACAGAAGCAGTAGAGCGTCATGCAAAGAGACATGTCGTGGCACCTAAGCCTGTATCGCAACGCAAACTAGACTTCGAAAACGCAAGGCCGAGGTGGATGAGAGAAATGGCTGCGGAGGCTATGGGAGTATTCTTCTTCGTGTAAGGTTGAAGAGACGGCTAGATGCAACATCAACTAACAGCCATCCATAGTTATCCGGGAATTGCATCATGCGCATCATTCTTTCTGAATCCTGGAGACCCGGGGCTAGGATCAGTCTTCCAAATTGGTTGGGCGTTTGCCATTGGTATTGCTTTCGCTATCATGTATGTTGAAATATGCCACCAGGATACGATCAACCATATCGTTTCAATCGCTGATACGCAACAGAACTTGTGGAAGTACTTCAGGAGGACATTTCAATGCAGCAGTAACGATATCTTGTGCCGTTTGGCTAGGTGTACGTTTTCGTCATCTCTAGTTGCATATCAACAGTTGCTAATGCATCTCAGTTCCCTTGGAAAAAGGTTCCTCAATATATCTTCGCTCAAGTCTTCGGTTCTTTTATGGCAGCCATGCTTTTAGTTGGACAATACTATCCACAGCTGATGGAACTTGCTGCGGAGTATCGTGCTAAAGGCTTGAGTCTCAATTCACCAGGCGGACCAGGAAGCATTCTTTGCTCTTTTCCTGGAGCATCACAATCATATGGATATTTGTTCTTCATTGAGTTTTTCGCCGACGTCTTCGTGGTATGTGGCAAAGACTTTACCAAACATTGAAGTATATGTTAACACGTTCCAGGGAATTGTGATTTGGGCTTGCCTTGACCCTATGAATCCATTTGTGTCTGCTTCTGCGGTACCTTGGGTTATTGGACTAGGTTATGGTAAGCAATTAATCCACAATTGTTTTCTTCGGATTTGATAGTCTTGAGTGTTGTACACTTGCTAACCTCTCTTAGCAACAATGATCTGGGGTTTTGCGGATGTAACGATAGAGCTCAATTCATCTCGTGACTTGGGCGCTCGCATCGTTGCAGCCATATTTTTTGGAGGCGATGCTTTCTCGCTTTATTCATTGATACCCATTCTCACGAGTATACCTGCCATGCTTTTTGGGACAGCATTGTATGAGATGATTCAACGCGATAGCTTTGGAGTTATAGCCAAAGGCCATAATGTACATGAGAAAGGAGAAGAGGGTATCATGCAACATTTATCCAAGAATGGTGCTCTTGGTGGAAGTGCCAGTACCTCGGGAATGAGTATAGACAGTGAAGTATGGGACAATGGGAGAAAGAATGATTCTGCTGTATGAATATTATGAAGGTCGATGAGGGTCGGGTCTTGATCATCCCTAGAACTATAATGAATAATGACAATGTATTTTAATTAAACAAGGAACATATAGCATATTTCCAATCAATGTGCCACGTCTTTAGCTTATGATTTGGGCGTTGCTGAACTTGAGAAGAGGAAGTTCCGACCTGAAACAATAGGAGTGAAAAATTTATAAGCTCCCAGATATCGCTCGATTGAGATTGATTGAATATGTGAGGGTTTGAAGTTCAAAAGATCATTAATGCCCACCCATTGTATTGAGGTAGATAGGATGAATGTTAGACAAGCCTTGTAAGATTACGTGGTGTACAAATCCAGCACGTGATGATAGCTTGTAGATTTGGCCGTAAACAGACAAGCGTATTATCGCTTGATAGTCCGGCTTCAGCTCCAGCAACTACTTCGTAACCAGTATCAAATTCACGATTCATTGTGTGTTCGACCAAGACAATTGCTTATTACTTATTACACCTTGACGATCTGATGATAGTGCCATACCTTGAACGATAATGGGAAGGCCTCCAATCTGATACCTGACAGATTGTCATTCAACTGTATCATCGGCAATTTGTACCACATGAGTTTCATATTTCTACAATACCTTTCATGACTAGGTACCCCTCCTTTTATCCCGCAACTTTGAACTGAATTTATTCATTTACGACATCAACTCACTCGATATAATCCCTATATTGGACATCTTTATTACCTACCACCTCAATATACAGCGACTCCTCCACTGAGTCTATACGCCCATACAATTAGATGATGATATAAGTTAGAAGCTTCGATTTGATCTTTTCTCAATCTTTGTAATATTTAACGATTAATTTTCTACCATGTTTCCAAATCGATCCATCGAGGATATGTCGTCAAGTATGGATATCGTTGAATCCGAAACGGGGTCTGAAGTGAGCAACAAACGCGAAGAAGTCAATACTAGAAATACATCACGATCACCTTCAAAAGCTCGGTCATTATCAGATGGCGGTCAACCAGTACTTTCACCGTCTCCTAAATTTCGCGAAGCAGAAAAGCCTATTTCCAAAGATGATAGTACCATCTCCGAAAGTCCGACAACACCAAGGCGACCTGCTGCCATTGCCCGAGGTCTTTCTTTGCAGATGCCACCAAAGGAGTTTATGCCAGTCGGGTCTTCAGCATATATCAATCGAGTACCATTGTCACCAAAATTAGATCAATCACAAACATATGGGTCACCTACGAGTGTTTTACCTAGACGATCTCGAGGTCTAGATTTCTCAAGAGCTGCAACAAACCTTCATCACTCTACACTCGCAGAGCAATCATCACCCGATTCGTCACCTACTATTACTGGCAGAGCTATGAATATCCCGAACAGAAAGAATGGATTAAACTTTACCAGCGCTGGGGAAAGTTCTTTATGGTCTCCCGCACCCAATACGGAAAGAGTGATGGCGTCCAACTCGCTTGGTAGTGTTAACATGATGGCCTCCGATGATTCTGAAAGTAGTTCAGACAACGATGACATGATGGAATCAGACGACATCGACGACTCTATTATTACAACACCTCAAATTAGCAGACTTACAGCACCTTTCGGCGGAAGTTATAACCCAAGCCCTGGTAGCGCCTGGTCTGGACAATCCCCTGCAGTCAATAGTCTTATGAATTTTCAGTCAGGAAGATTAAGAAGTGGAAAGAGTCGCAAAGGATCGAGAAGTGGACCAATGCCTAGTCCAACCTCCAAATCACCTCCTAGTATGCGCGACAGCAATTACTTCAGCAGACCAAGACCTGTGGATAATTTTCGTTCGAGGAGAGAAAGTATAAGCTGGGCTGCAAACCAATTACATATATCAGGAAGTGAAAGTGATGATGCTGGATTGAAATCCACTTTAGAGAATGTAGATGGTATGCCTAGCACACCCGGAAAAGATGGACAACGAGGGGTCATTCGCAGAGTAGTGACCCGGAGGGGAAACATGCTAGTATGTTGTACAATCCTTGTAAATTTACCTCCACTAACTTTCAATAGCCTAAAACAAAAGGGTTCGCACGTATTCGAGCAGCTCTAGCTGAAGAGAGTGCACCAGTCGAAACAGAAGTTCGTAGAGAAGCAGAAGTTGTTCGCCAAACCCGCGAAAGTGATATGGATCTCGAACCTTCCCGACATCCCTCTATATCAACAATAGATGCGCGCTCGTCACCGATTATTGGCCCAACACAGGATTCTCTAGAAGGTATACCCGAAGATGATATAATGGCCGATGCATCTAGTTCTCAACTATCTGGTAGCTTCAAGCAACAAGTCATTCGCAATTCCAAAGGCAAAGAATTCTGGGATTCTTTTAGTGATGACAATAATCGTACACCACCTCCACCTAATTTCAATCATCGCGGTTCTACTTCTGGCATGAGTGAGGATTTATCACTAGAAGCTCAACTCTCCACGCCTCTTCATCCCCAACGAAGCAATTCTGATTCCTCTCCCTCTCGCTCCTCTACTCCTCAAGCATCCGAACCTATGCGTAAAATCACACATAAACGACGTCGGGACGATGATCTCGATCCTACAAGTTTTAAGAGACGGGCGGTTAGTCCTGGTATGAGCGTACATAATAGCCCGGTAATGCAAAGTCCGATGCAAAGAGATATGGCTCCTTGGGGCTCAAGACCAAATAGTAACGGGGAGCCTGGAAATGGAAAGAGTGGATTAGGAAATGGTACAGCTGGGATGGGAGGTAGGAGAATTGGGTTTCAGGGTATGGTAGACACTAATGATGGATTGATGAAAATGAGTATTGAATAATGGGTATATGAACTAGGAGTACGGGGGTTTGAATGGATTGAGCGCGGATATTTTGCTCATACAATGGCTGGTTTTGGGTGTTAATATGTTTATGGAATTCAATGGACCTAATTAGGAATGGAGGGCGTACATATTCCTTGCACAGCATATTCAAATATCCATTCTGGTGTAGGATAGGAGAATCTGCCAATAGGCGAAACTAGCGATGATTGTTTGTGTAATTCAATCAAACTTCCACACGATTCACTTTTTACTACTTGTGTAGTATTAGATTCATTGGTGGTGATATCTACTTGCATACATACGTGCTTGTCTCTTTACATTTGTTACGTTTATCCATTGACTGAATGGTCATCACTAGCAAGATTTATATGGAGTGAAGTACGAGTGGGTAGGCTATAAGGTTATCGGAACGACCACCAGTATAGATTGACGGGACACTTCCCAACTTTCGAAATTTCTAACAAATTCAATCTTCAATTGTTTGATATCGGAACTCACATTTTGATCATTTGAATTCTAAGGAATGATTGTAAGCATTCTTAGAACACATGACTTGATTTATTAAAAGATATTCATCAGTCAATTCTTGTAGTGTTCTGTCGGTCTGTATACACAGGTGCATGTGCCATGTACAAATCAGTTCCAGTGGGTGAACAGAGATTTATAGGCTTGAGGCCCTGAAGGTGATGTGTAACAAAAAAGTGAGGAAGTTAGGTGAGCGGGGCGTGATTGGTGGATGCAAGCGAGAAGGGGGTGAAGTGTAGATTGAGTGAATGTGAGGTGGATAAGGGTATGGGTGAGGGCGTGTATATGGGGTGTGAAGAATCGGGTGTGGAGCTAGATGGGATAGAGCGATTGTTCAGGGGGGTTTATGGGAGGGTATTTGTGATTTGGGACTGAGATTGGAGAATGGATGATAGGAGGTGAGTTCTTGAAGGGAGTTAGGTTGTAGGCAATATTTGTTCTAAGGATAAAGATGATTTTCAAGAAGCTTGGGGAGTGAGGCGATACTTGGGTATCTCAAAGCTGAATACCGGCAGCAGACATGCAACAAATGGGTTTGAAGAGGTGGATTTAGCATCGTTGGTGCGTGAGCGAATCTGAAGGGTAAGCATGTCAGTGGTGGATAGGAGGATAGATGTGGTACTAAGAGGAATTACTCCCTTCGCTATTCATCTTTCAAGATCACTTATGTGCTTGCATTTCTGTGGTAGAATTATATGCTTTCAGTCACTAAGTTTGTCTATTGTATTATTACAAAGACTTGATCAAAAAGATGAGATGCATTGATGTTGTCCTATTTTACTGATTTTAACTTTATCAACTCACTTCCATTGTAACACCTATCCTATCTTATTAGCTTCTGGTCTTCGATTTACCCCCATATTTCCTTCACCACGCCTTCATTATTTATCATTCCTTTCCTCTCTTTCTCATTTACATTCATTTCAATCTTGACTTTTTTTCTCATCTGCAAACATAGAAATCAATGAAAATAATAAAGAAAGCTTCTGCAAGGAATAGAAAGATTACTTGGGCTTTGAAGAGGGCGTAAAGGACAGAGGCAATCGTATTTCCACCTTTCTTACCTGGCTTTCAAGCTTTATGGTTGCACATTGATGGTAGAGAAGAAAGCAATGATTCAGTCAAATTCTCCATATATCATGAGCTCCCAGAAAGTATGATCAAATCGTAATTTTAATTTCCATAGTCTTCTGCACACTTCACTTGCCAACATGACATGTATGTAGAGGCAATTCTCTGAGTTCTTGAAAAGCTTCACCTTTATAACTGTCTGTACTCTCAATGTTTACTGACAACCTTATAGCAAGCCCACCGGCTTCGGATAGAGACATCGCCTCAGAAGTTGAGTGAGTTTCACCATTTGTTACATTCAGATACAGCTAATAAGTGAAATAGTAGTGACGGCGAGGAGCAAGTGACTTCATCCATTCTCTGTGTTCTTTGCTGATTTGTAATTCAGCACATCTGATGAGAAGTGGGTGTATCTTGCAAGTCCTTTATTTTCTGGGGAGATAATACTAATGATTCAGTCCGTTGGATATTGAAACTTTGTAGGCACCTCTGTTGATGTTTTCCTGTTCATTTTTCTGTAAACACCTATGCTTCTGGCCAAGTTACTAACTCAGATATAGTCTGGAGCGTATCGAGACGTTGTCAGTGCCTTCCCCCTTGAGAAGTATGACTTGCTGGGAATTCATTGCTGACCTTTGTAGTATGATAGAAGCAATTCGCAGGTTAGTGTTTTGGACCGAGTCCGGCAAGTGAATAGCGAGTCAATACTAATATTGATGACCTTGGATCCAGAGACGTAGTTCTCGAGACCCGGTAGGTCGAATTCCGCCAACTGTTTAAAGAGGAGAGCTTTACATCATTAAATGCTGATGTTTTCGACAATAGAATCACTGAAATACAAGATCTGTACGTTTCTAAATTACCTACTGGTAAGATACTAACATCTCTCGAATAGCATGAGGGAGCAGAATACTCTGTAAGTTTCAAATGTTATAGGGTTCTTCGCTTTCTTGTAGCAATCTGAGCTAATGAATCCTGACATAGCAATAACGCAACAGAGACGGCAAGACAAGAGGAGAGAAGAAGAAGGAATAGTTGGAGGGGTTGGGGTAAATGGATCGCCCTAGGTTTCCTAGCGTTGGTGCTTGATAAGTAAGTTATAATGCATACTTTTCAATCCATTATAAAATCCCGAATCGTTACTAACCCAGCTCAAATATAGTTTACTTGGTGTGGTCAGCCTGGGATTCGCCATCTGTTGGCACAAAAGAAAGTAATTGGGAACGAGTCGCATTTTGTGAATGTCAAGATTCTTGCTTGAGGGAGGATACTTGTGGAGGTAGCGCAAATACGAACTCGCAGCGGCGGAATCCACACGCCAAAGACATCCATTTTCTCAAACCTCAGCAGGATCAGCATAGGTAGATAATAATTTGGCGGCTTTGAGGTGGCTATCGACGTCATGATGTGCATTTCCCACTGAGGTTGCAAGCTCTCGATTTTAAACGGCCGAGTTGACACACCTGAGACGAATTACTAGAGGAATCTATGAATGTTGAATATGATTCGTGTGCGCCTGACATTGTGTCTTTGATGGCTCTTTCGGTATGGTTCCGCGATCATACATCTAAGTGCACCAATCCCTTTGATGTCTATCTTCTTGAAGTCTTTAACACAATACATCAACCTCGCAAGACAATAATTCAACCAATTGTACTACCAACTTACTTTTTTATCTTCAGTGGAAGAATTGAGTTTTTCATCCCTCCTTGACCGTTTCCAAGGAATTTAAGTCAAAGTAATGAGTTTTTGGTTGACGTTGATGTTTGACGAGTTCACATCTTTTCACCTTTCGTGAGAAACTCTTTGTGATTCCTAGCATCTCGTGAGCTCTCCGCCAAGGCACGCTCGCCTGCCCGCTCAACAAATTGAGTTTCTTTGCCAGTCCCAACTTCAGTATGTGAACAAGCCAAGAAGATAAAGACTGCTTGTGACAAAGCCGCAACACCCTAGCCTCCAAATATCTGTTCGCCTCCCCGCTGTAGCACTTGATTCTCCCGGGATCAACTCCCGCTCGATACATAGAAAGTATATAACCCCCCTCCTCATCCCACCCGCCGCCCACTACTCCACCCCAAGCACTAGTCCCATCCCATTCGATCACACACTCTTCTCCACCCATCTCACTCTCTCATACATGATATTGCTAGCATGGAAGATCTAGAAGACGATGATATTGATTTGGATTTCGAGGATACACACAATAATGTTGGTGACGCCTTGGATCTAACATTTCAAGATGAAAAGAATAAATTCTCGATTGGTTTCTTGAGGACAATACAATCCTCAGGTACCAAATGAGATTCATGGTCGGGAAATTGTATTCTAATCGCAAGAAATGTGAAATTTGCGCGCAGAAGAACTGTAGCACCACGGCGTCTGTGGCTCTTGGTCTTTAAATCCGCCTCTGGATCGCTTACGCCTTTTGGTCATTGAGACTGGACAGTCAACCAAGATGGGTATTACATTAGCTATCTGAAACCGTTGTTGAACCACTCGATATATATATATATCAAGAGTAGGGTAAATATACCATCTCTCTACCCTCGCCCCCACCAGCACTCTCCCCACCAAGTACTAGCCTGTGTCATCCCGCCACATTTTTTGAAACAATATATATATCCCAAACTCAACCCATCCTACAACAATAACACAACATCTTTGATGGTCTAACGGTCATGATTTCCGCTTGTCAATCTGCATTGCAAGTCGCGGGAGACCGGGGTTCGACTCCCCGTCAGAGAGTTCCTTCCACATAGAATTCCCTGAATCTCATGTTCAATAACTTTTTGTTTGATTTTTTTACATCAAAAGCCTTTTATTTTTTTGGTTTTCGCGGACGGGAAGTTTGGCGTGTAAGAAGGGACCCCACTACGACTACCCGGCCGGAGCTCTATTATTTTTCTTACCGGTGGGGCTTTCCTTAGTGAATGGAGGGACATTATTTTTTTAATAAATAGTAAGGATGACGTTGCTGTCGAAAAGTGAATGATATGTTCCTAAGGAAGTATCGATGAAGCGGAAGTGTAGCGACTGACCTAGCGAGTTTATGATCTGAGGCACGTGTGAGGGTTGTCATGTGCACATGTCGAAATGATTGGATCATCTCGAGACTCATGAGTCTGGAGGAACTTTGTAGATAATAAATCCATAATACAGCTAACAAAACCATTCTAAAAGTATATTCACATTTGTCTATTTTCCTATCTGGAACTTGGCTTGTCGGGATAGGATGTGGCTTTTGCTATCTATCGTGGATTTGAATTTCGAATTTCGAAGCACATGTTAGTGAGATGATATGATATGATGTGGTATACCGGGATGTAGTTTGGATATCGATGGAGGGAGACATTCGATGTTTCGTGTGAAGAATCAAGAAAAGTTTGGATGTATACAAGAATCCAGATGCAGGTAGTTAGTTACTAGGTAGCTTCCCATGTGAAACTCCATTCCCTTTGCGTGAACCCATCATAATGGATGGATCATATGAAGAATGATTTGATTTGATTAATTATCCAGGTTTGGATAATAAGATCATAGGTTGTACAACACATTGAATATTTGAATCTAGATCTTTGGGTATAGGATTCTAGATTCGAGAAGGGTGCAACATGATGTGATGTGAAGTGAAGTGGTGATGTGATTTTATGAGTATCCTTGCGACAACTTGTTTTTATATAGCAACTGATGTGCAGATGTGCAAATGGAGATATGTAATGTAGCATATGTAAGCTAGTATTGTGCAAGAACGCGTCAATGTGTATATGTATAACCAAACCGTCTAAATTTTGGATCAATAGCTCTTCCATGTGAAGATTATAAGGGAACCGAGTGGTGCTCTTTGAGATTTATGAGTGCGGGTGGGTTGATGTGTTGATGTGTTCGTGTTTTAGCATGTGGATATATTGGAGACTGGAGTGGTGCAGATGCGTTGAGAAGTATCGCCGTCGCCGTTGTCCCTAGTCGAAATATGAAGACATACAGAGTAATCTCACGTCTACTCTGTACATATCAGTGGAAGGAATTATTCCGTACAGTCCAACACATCGAGAATGTATTTTAGTCCTCAGATCCTCTCATTCAATAATTATCCATCGGGAAATCTCGAAATCTCAGCCATCATTAATGCCAGGTACGGATCCATGAATTCACAAACCAACCAGCAAAGTTCGAGCGAGAGAATATGCACCAATCATCATTCAAGATCCTTAATCTCATATGGATTCTTCAGTCTTAGTTTTTTTTTAAGGCCCGATACAAATTACAATAAAGTGGCTCATGAGAAAAAATGGTGACCCTTGAGCCTCATCCTTTTTTTGGTCACGCAATTAGATTAATTCGTCTCGAGTTCGTAAACCTTTCAAGGGGCGGGAATAAGATCAGATTGTGACCCATGCAGAAATTGTGCCTTATCGCAAGAATTTGAAAAGAATCAAGAATCAAGAATCGAGATTCGAGAGAAGTCGAGGAGGTCGAGGTCCAGGTCAAGGTTCCATATCAGATATTTGTGGGTATTTTTCCATTGAGGCATTTTTCAAGCGACATTGGAGGTTGATCCATCCATAATGGGTTCTGTTTGATATGTAGGATCCATATAGCCCTAACCGGTTATTTACATTTCTCTGTAGTAAGTGTGGCAGCGGCACCGACCTAGGAAATGCGCAAATCCTACTCGAGTAATAAATATCTTTTCATGCGAAGTTGCGGAGTATATACGGCGTCGGTCTGTACTGATTAGAATGAGCGGCCTATTCTCGGTGGCGGAGCCCTCTAATGATAATATGATATCGATGAGAGGACGGCGGCCATACCCTATGCAGTGTCGGTTGTTTGACTTTTGCGAGATAAGGAACGAAACATGTGAGAAAGATTTGATGCAGACGCTTCAGTCCGTGTCCACTGTCAAAGAAAGGTCCAATACCGGAACTTATCGAGCTTATTCAGAATTTTGTTTTATTTTAGAAAAAACGTTCGTAGTTTGTTGATCAGGGTTGGAACTGAGGTCCACTAGAGTCGAAACAATACAGTAGCGTCGAATTCGAAGTATGCATCTGAATCATCCTGAATCAGAACCCGCTCTTTACGACTCATCTCATCTTTATCGAATAACAGAATGGCGTTCATACCCTGTTTTCAACTCTACCCGTCCTTCACAACCGACAGTTTCTGGTGACGCCGTAAAAGTTGTTATCATGTGGAAGTCATTCGATTTCTGAAATATCGCTCATGAGGGTTGATCATGCCATATCTAGGGGATCTCCTGTCTCTTGTCAGATGCTCATACCTATTACCTACCCAGTATTCGAATTTCGCACCTCGCTCGAAGCACCCCCTTTTCACGTGTCACAATAGAGCTAGTAGGTGCGTCAAGTTACATCGAGGTTCAGCACGTTTCGGGATGAGGTTGATCTTACCCGACCTGATTTTCATGAATGCAGTATATGCTGCAGCTGTCTTGACGGGATACCTTCTAGAGTTTAGACTTTGCCTTGTTTACCAGGTACTGACTACCGTAATACTAGGTAGATACTCCTATTCATATCCACCTTCCTGCAGTACCCGATGTCGAGTCTTCCAATATTACATCTTTGAGATATACGCGGTACATATTCGAGGACCGGAAGAAACCTCGTTCAGCCTTGGGAATTATGCTAGGCTTATCATGTTATCATTTGATAATCGAATATTCAACCAGTCGACCACCATCAGTCAATCATATAACAAACAGTGTGAGACTGCGACAGTAGAAACCTCCGAAGGCGAAGAAGTGTGTAATTCAACGTCATTTGACATTCACCATCATCATTAGATCCCAACTGGTGAGGTGAGAAAGTCCAAATCTATATTCGTGTGTCTGTTTGATTGAAGTCTCCAATTTTTACGGATACAACCGTATCGGCACTTTGGAATCTTTTTGATACACCAACGAAAAGAAAAGGGAAGAAAAAAAAAGTTCTCGAACATCAGCCCAAAAGTTTCTCCCAAGGTTTTCTCCTAAGAAGAAGAAGGTGACCCCCACTAGAAGATATCCACTTCATATCAAGAAACCGTAGCCCCTTCCGATTTGTGACGTGCGGAAGCGCCACTTTGATCTACTTCGTACCCACGCCTACCCAGCTTGACTGTGTGGATTTTCTTGAATTGCGCCTGAGCCACTGCATTATTGACTGGTCATTGGATTATTGAAGTGGGATTGGGATTGGGATGGAGAGAAAGAGTAGGCAAAAGGGTACCTCAATACCGAAGAAAGGAGAGAGAAAGAGAGATTGCGACAAATATACTAGTAACAATAGGGTAAGGACGAAATCTTTGATATACAAAATACAAAGAAGGACTAGAGCAAAGATAACTAAAGGAAGAGGTCATAATTTGTGATTTCTTTTTAAATCCTTTTTACTCTCATATGGTTATTGTCCTTTACATATACCTGCGCAGTACATTGGCTGCAGAAAAGAAAGAGCGATTTGCAACTAGCATTACTACTTTCGCACACTTCCTTGGTAACTGCTTTGGAAAGGAAGTCGCCGATACGAGTGGAGTATAAGTATTTCTCAATATTCGGAGCTCACTACTTGACAACTTTGCAACAACATATCAAGCACACGAAACGATCGAGGGATTCTCTTTCCCGTCGACGCAAAACAACTTTTGAATCAATATTTTTCACATAAGCATACGGCCAATCTACGAGGTGATAGGGAGTTATGCCTAATTTCTTTGGAGGCGTTACTGGCAGAGGTGTTTCGACACTTTTTGAGATACGGTATGTCATAATAATTCTACGATTTTGTTTCCCCATCATGTACTGACATTTTGCAGTCTTGACGAGGAAATTATCGTTCTTCGAGGAGGTGAAAATGAAGCTTCGAGTCAATTGCTCAAGGGATCAGTAGTTTTATGCCTGCCAGCTGCTTTAAAAGTGGAAGATGTACATCTTCGTATGACTGGGCAATTGAAAGTTGGGTGAGTTTTTCTAAAGCATTTCGACATATGCAAGGATTGGGAAACTAACTACCACATGCAGGTGGAATGATCAGCGAGTCACACCTACCGGTATTTCGAATAATCGAGTCGATAGAACTACTGAGATCTTCAGTCATAGATGGGCTCCATTTGTTGGCGGAGCAGGGCCTGGTTCTTCCTCAAAGGGATTACTTCTACCAACAGGAAATTATGAATGGCCATTCGAACTCGTCATTCCAGGGTCCATGTCAGAAAGTGTGGAGGGTTTGAATGACAGCCACATTATTTACAAATTGAAGGCAACAGTCGCTCGAGGAAAATTGGCATACGATTTACATGCTTGGAAACCAGTGCGAATCGTTCGAACTTTGGACCCTTCAGCACTGGAATTGGCTCACGCCATGACAGTCGAGAATGTTTGGCCAAACAAAATCGAATATCAACTGGTTATACCACAAAAGGCTATAGTATTTGGTACTGCGATCACCATCGAGATGCGATTCACCTCTTTGTTGAAAGGCTTAAAAATCGGCAAGATAAAGTGTCATTTGATCGAAGTACAAGAATTTGTTCTCCCGGGAACATCTACGACTTCGGATAGATATTGGAAAAACTCTAGAGATGTGGATGCTTGGACCTTTGAACTGAATGAAGAAGAGCATTATCAAGATATGCTTGACGACAGTGGACAAGATGGTTTCAAAATGACCGAATTCATGCCTTTGCCAAAAAGGTTGAGCAGATGCATACAAGATGTAGACGTGCATGGTATCAAAATTCGCCACAAGGTCAAATTCAACATTGCATTACACAACCCAGATGGGCATATTTCAGAAGTATGACTCCCTTGTCTTTATTCATGCAGAAAATACTGATCAAATATAGCTCCGCGCAACGCTACCAGTCACAATCTTCATTTCGCCCAACATGCCATTAACTGCCGAAGGTGCTTTAGTGGATCAGACACCAACAACTAATACCCAATCAACTGCAGTCTCAGCACATGCACCACCTCTTTATGGAGAGCACGTATTAGATCAACTTTACGCCGACATGGATCAATCTGGACTAATGACCCCTATGCCGCAATCTGGAATGAACACTCCATTTTATGCCCAGTCTCGAGCAGGTTCATCGGAGAATCTTTCCACCTCCCCAGAATCTCATCATCCGGCCGGCGCCGTTCCCCCTGCAGCATTGTCATCCAGGCTTCAAAATTTAAATACCAATTTAAATTCTGGCAGGAATAGCTTTTTGAGGCGATATGGAGGATCTGGATCAGGAGGAACTACTCCTCACCATAACGATGATCACCAAGGAAGTTATTTTGATTCACATCATGGCCATTCTGCTTCTTCAGCAACTGCCAGAAGTAATCCTCTCAGTAGACGAGGAAGTTTTAACGACGATCATCATCCAGATGCCACCAGTACCACGATGAGCAGCGGGCATCATACTCCTGAACACTTGGATTACAATGAAATGGGAGATTTGACCAAAGTTCCTTCCTATACTACGGCTCTCAAAACCCCTGTGAGAGGAATGAGTTATACCGAAGCATTGCCTAATTACGAATCTGCCATCTCAGCACCACCAAGCCCGACATTACATGCAAGTTCTGGCTCAAACACACCGCATGAGCAGCCATTGGACGGGGGCCATTCTCATTCACACTCACACTCACACTCAAATTCTCATTCGCACGCGGATACGCATAGACATCACCATGGACCGGGATTTTTGAGAAGAAACCCATTCTCTAGTATGGGATTCACACCGTTGCATCCAACATCACATGCACATTCAGGGGAAGCAGATGAAAGGAGGAGATTGCACTTGTTACAGCATAGAGATAGGGTGCATTAAAAGAAGGAAGATTGGATAAATTAATGGAATAGACCATTGGAATGGAATGCGAGATCCAGACATCTTTTGGCGCACGAGGGGTTTGAAATAGACTTGTTACATTGGGAATTTTGGGGGCGTTCAGCTTGATACCTTTTGATGAGATACCGTTATAGAAGCGTCAAATGCTGGAAGGTTAGAAAATGGGAGCAAGAGGCTGCATTTAGTATTAATATTCTCCCCGCTCTCGCGATTTTGGAGCCATAGTTTCTCTTGAATACTTAAATTCAACATTTTTAACTTGACCAATTTCTCATGATTCAATCTGCTGTGACAAGATGAGAATACTAGATTGGTATTATCACATCACGAACTCGTCAAATTCCGATCTTGTACAGAGCAGGACCAAATTCGGCTTACCGAAGTACTACCGAATACCTAGGTACACCTTCAACCAGACGTCATCTGCAGCCATAATCTGCTTTGTGTGAAATCCGAGAATATCAAAAGATGAAGATGGGGATGGAGATGGAGATGGAGATATTACAGATAAGAGATGAATTCTAAATTGAAACCAAGATACCTAGGGCAGTCGTGTATTTCAACTCTAATATCTTGACTGATTTCAGCTTCTTACTTTGCCTAATGGCGTAAGCCCATCCCGAAGTCGCGTTTGAGAGATCATCCACACTTTCAAGCTCCAAGCTCAGAGACCTCGGGAGTCATAATATTACAACAATCACAACATACTTCGCTGAATTTCTCTCATTCAAAACTGTTGAATTCGTTATCATTTGAATCTACGGTATTCCTTGATTCAATTCCCAATTCCTTTGAAATTCAAGCCTCTAGAGTACATCTTGATTTAGAACTCATTCGATGCCCTTGTATCTGACATAGATATCTACACAAATCCGGGCCCATCACCCATCAAAACCATGGCGCCCACAAATCGTACCCTTCTCTTTCGATCCTCCTCCCCATCCTCATCTCTACGATCACCATCCTCGTCTTCCTCTACTTTCCGCGAACAAAAAGCTCGTAAACAAGATATGATCCGCTATACCTCCTACGCCTCCGCCATTCTCTCCTGTCTCTGCGCAGGTTCCATCACCGCTTATTCGCTTTATGGCCATCTATTTCAATCGCGATTGCATTACACACAACTACAAGTCAATATTGTTATTATCGCGGCGGAATTGGCAATGTATCTGCCAGTGCCGGTATTCGGATATCTATGCGATCGGGTTGGACCTGCGCCACTGTCTCTTGGGGCGGGAATCATGTTTGGAGCTGGTTATGGATTGGCGGCACTTACATATAAGAGTGGAGAGAAAGATATAGAGCGTTATGTGACGGAAAGAGGATGGCCAATTCTCTGGATGGTGATTGCATTTATGATTATTGGGATGGCAACGACTTGTATGTATATCAGTGCGGTGACGGCATGTGCGAAGAATTTTGGGAAATCGAAATATAGAGGTCTGGCTCTTGCATGTCCGATTGCAGCGTTTGGGTTGAGTGGAATGTGGCAGAGTCAGGTGGGGGAGAAGATACTGCATGAGAGGGGGAGAGACGGTCAAAGGGGAGATGTTGATGTGGGAAGGTTCTTTTGGTTCTTGGCTGTTACGCTTCTTGTGGTGGGGTTTATTGGATGTGGGTTGTTGAAGATTGTGGATGAGGATGAATTGATTGAAGAAGCTGTTGAGGAATTGGAGAGGAGTGGGTTACTTGGGGAGGAGGAAGGATATACTAGGAGAGGATATGGTACTCTGAATGGAGAAGAGCGAGGTGGCGTGGACGAGGAGGATGAAGAAGCGAGAAAGAAGACTTGGTTATTAAATGAAGAAACAAGGCGATTCCTTAAAGACCATACAATGTGGTGGTTGGCCATTGGATTCTTCTTCGTCTCCGGACCAGGCGAGTCATTCATCACGAATTTGGGCACGATAATCGGCACGCTGAATCCACCTACAATCCACAATCCTACTTCTGCAGCAACACATGTTTCAGTTGTGGCATTTACCTCAACCATCGCTCGTATCCTATTTGGCACCCTCACTGATGTATTGGCTCCGGTTCCTATCGCACATCATTTCGGTTCTCTGTCAAATTCTTTCGCTTCTCTCCCACCACAACCTAGATCTCGGTTCACAATATCTCGTATAACATTCCTTATTCTATCAGCCCTCCTAATCCTCTTAGGTGATATCCTACTGGCTGCAGGAATTTGCCAAAACCACGCTGACCGCTTCTGGATTATTTCCACTCTCATCGGATCCGGTTACGGTGCTTTGTTTTCCCTGACTCCTTTGATCGTAACGGTTATTTGGGGTGTAGAAAACTTTGGAACTAACTGGGGAATCGTGGCAATGGTTCCAGCACTAGGTGCTACACTCTGGGGTGTGATCTATAGTCAAGTTTACCAGAAAGTTGCCGAGGGACTATGGAAAGAATTCCTTGGTGATGGAGTACTCTGTTGGGGACAAAGTTGTTATGCGGGAACTTTCTGGGGAATGGCAGGGAGTGTGGGCGTTGGAATCGTATTCTGGGTTTGGGCTTGGAAGGGAAAGGATGGATGGAGTGATAGGGGTGTTGTGGTGTAATTTACTCATATGGAAGTCTGGACTCGTGTGGAGCTTTGCATGGGATGGGATGGGTATACGAAGTAATGTATGAAGTTGAGGTTTTGATATAAGCATCTAGCGTATATACTCATGGTGTTAGCAAAGCGGCATTGGGTTATTGAGTTATGGAGGATGGGAATAATAAATTGTACATGTTACCTTTTGTGGCTATACATACATAGGCGTTTGTGGTTTGGAATTTTTATTATTTTGTTTGGCTCGGTCTGGTTTGGTATGGTCTGATCTGTTTGTTTTTTGGTATGCACTACACGGCATTGTTTTAGGTGGTTATGGATTGGTCAATGGGGAGCTTATTTGCATGGAATGTTTTTTGTGTATTGGGCATTTGATAAGTTGTGGTTGTGAATTGTGGGATATGTTATATTAAATACGAACGTCCTCATTGATAATATAATGCTTGACACTAGGGAGTCTGGTATGATGGAATGGTATAAGTGAATTATTGGTGTGAATTAGTTGGATTTGTATAGTATTGTGCGTTTCTGCGAAATCGCATCTAGGAATTTGAGAACTTTCTACTTTTGATTTATGTCTGCTAGTATGAAGTAAGCATCCCTCATTATGCATTTTCTAACGAAGGGGACAATGAAAGATAGATTTCATTTCATCGAAACTCTTTTCATACCCACCTTCTTATTTTTCTGAAATTGACTGATCACATCGGAAGATACTGGTTTGGAAGTTCGACATGAGTTGGATGGATGGAATGACTAGTAAGCTGACATACATATACATGCAAGGCATACGCCACAAACAGCAGGGCTGAGATTTTTGGAGCCAGACAAGACACTCCCTTCACCTGTAAAGATTACATCTTCCTTCCTTCCTGATTATCCATCTCCGACTTTCTATCTATATCCTCACACCCCCTCTTCAACAATTCTATATGTAGATATCTCATAACACAACACAACACGATGACACCCTCCCCTATTTCTCCCCTCAAACTCGCCGTGCCTTCCGCACCGGTCTGCTAATGGGTACCTCGGGGGTTTTAACACCTGTTATTATGAAAACATGGGATGTTTCGGTGTGGAGAGCTGTGGGCTGTGTTTTGATTTTGTACGGGGGGTTTGTGAGGTGTGAGGTGGGGGTTTGTTGGATGCTAGGGTTTGGGGGGTAGGGAGGGAGGAAAGAAGGGAGGAGGGGAGAGATGGAGGGGGACCAAAGGGAGAAAAGCGAGATAGGATCGCGAATGAGAAAGAATGTGTTAGGAGGTAGGAGGTAGGAGGTAGGAGGTAGGAGGTAGGAGGTAGGAGGTAGGAGGTAGGAAATAGGGGGTATGAGGATATAGGGGTAGATGAGAACAGGAGAGGAGAAATCATCTTCAAGGCTATTGGTCAAAGGAAGGGAAAAGCACGCGGGAATTAGAAGTTACATTCATCACTATCCAACAATTCAACAATTTACTCTTTCTCTGCTACACGCAGTTATATTTTTAACATAAGTACTTGAATTTTTCACTTCTTCGAATGTTGAGATCCGAGCTACAGAAGCGAGAAAGCTTTATGGCGTCGGAAGTCGTGCTTTTTGTTTCCTGTGTATGCCACTATGGGAATTTGGAGAGGAAGAGTTTTTCTGGGGGTGGAGATATGGGAGGAAGTTTAAGGGATAGAGGTTTAGAGATTGAGAAATTGAAAAGATGCGGAGAGTGGTGGTGAGATGGAGAATGATTGAAGCGGAGATAAAAAAGATAGCCGAAATACCGGCTGCAGAGGAGTGGGAAGAGAGGTTGAAAGAGGAAGTACTTGAACCTTCAAATAAGGAAATTAAGATCAATAACAGCACAAAAATGAATTTTGTACTCATTTCCAACATCTGTATTTATGATCGGCCAGAAATGAAACATACGCAACAAATAAAATTCAATCATCCTCCACCCCATTCAACAGGGCAGTAGGAAGTGTTTTTTTTTTCATTCCAATATTTACAATCAAGATACTATTCTAACTATGATACAATGAATCTATCCCCTTCTCAAATATTTCCTTTCTCTCCTTACATCCCCACATCCAGGTTATCGTCTCAAGATCTAGAGTTCACACTCATCATCTTCGTCCACTCCCCCTGCATCCGATTCATCCGTTGCAACAGGAGCAACCGAGCTAGCAATTTCAGTTGAAGAAACTTTACCACTTGACCCACCATCTATCGCACCATTAGTCAGTCTATGTAGAAAGACACTGAGAATAATATTCATTCTGCTTCACACACGTACCGACAGAGCAAGACTTTCCTCCAGCGCAGTTACCATACAAAGGGACTGAGCCAGAGGATGAAGCGGCGGTTGTAGTAGCTGGTTTCGCGGAAGTAGCGAGAGTTGAGCTGGATTTTGGGGTGACGAGAGTAGTTTTGCTGGTGGAAACGACGGCAGCTGTGGAAGAAGCTTTGGTAGTAGCAACGGCTGCTGTGGAAGAGGCTTTGCTGGATGTAGCAGCGACTTTTGAGGAGGAAGCGACGGGGGTTGAAGTGGCTACTGCGACTTTGGAAGAGGTGGTGATCGCTCCGTGGGATGCGGAGGCTGCAACTGAAGATCCACCTCCATTGGCCATGAGAGCGGAGACAGGGGTTCTGCCTGGGAAGAAAGAGGTTGGAATGGTTGGGATAGGAATGCTTACGCTCACGGCGAAAGGAGTAGCCAAATCTTGGGCCATGGTAGAAGCTTCGTAACCGGTTGGCATAGCGGACCAAGATTGAGTTGTAGTGTAAGCAGATGGGGAATTGGTATCGGCTTCGAGACATCCTCCTGAACCGTAAGCGTTTTGGCAAACGTATTTTCCGGTGCTGCCGGAATCAGCTCCGATGGCAAAGTCAGTGATAGTGATGTTGGTGCATGGTGCGGTGGATGAGCAGAGGAGGTTGATTGGTCCACGTGCAGTGGCGCTCTCACACGTTCCCTTCCAATTGTTGAAGGAGAGGTTCTCGTAGATGACTCCATTGCCGGCAGCTTTGCTTGCTTGAGTCCAGGCTGCGTTAAGGTTCAAACTGTAGGCGTTGGAGCGACCGATGAAGTTGTTGAATTGACAGTCAGAAACGGTTCCGCTACCACCGTTTGATTTGATCATGTACATTTGGTTAGATCCGTAAGTGTAAACATTGTTGTAGATGATGTGGGAGATGGCAGTGTCTGCTCCGAAAGATCCCATACCACAGCCTCCTGAACTGTTACAATAGATATCCTCAATGAGAAGATGATCGGAAGGACTCTACGACGTGATTAGATATCTTAGAAAAGCTTCATTGGGAAAAAAAACTCACCTTGACAGTAACACACTCATCCTTGTTAGTAACTTCAACATCATGAATCCAGATGTTGGTTCCCCAAACATCAATACCATCAAGACCACCCTCGTTACCACCACGAATGATCATGTTGTAAACCTCTCCACTCTCGCAAGTATCAATAGAGAAATGGAATGCAGGAGCATCGACTAAAGCAATGTCGTGGATGGAGAAGTTTTTAGCATCGAAAAATCGGAGGAGGCGTGGACCATAAGTCGAGTCTTTGTGATATTCATAACCATAACCTTGAATAGCACCTGCAGAGGTACTACTGTACATTTCGAAATCGGTAGTGTGTTTGATCATGATCATATTTCCATCACCGCCATCAACACGATAAATGATACCATCAAGCTTAAGTGCCCATGCCGAACCTCCGCTAAGTGTAACCCAAGTAGTCATACCATAATCTCCAGGTGGGACATAAACTGTTTAAAAATAAGCTTTCAGGAGATGGAAATGGATCTTGAATTGTGTACCTGTTCCACCAGTCTTGCAAGCAGCGAATGCAGAAGTAAGCGCCGGGCCAATATCTGAAGTCTTGCTTGCCTTTCCACCATAATCCAAAACACTACAAATCTTTGTAGCTTTAGATTCTCTTGAAGTCAATGGGCCAACTGAACCAGTCAACTGTGCTGATACTAAAGCTGGGAGGACAATTGCCGCAAGGGCTGATAATGTGCTGAATTGCATTTTGCAAATAACTTGAAAATGAACGATTGAAAATGGAAGGGATAGGTAAATGGTAAAAGATAAAAAACGGAGGTGAAACCTCAAAAGAGTGAAAGGCAGACAAATCTGCGTTTAGAATAGAAAAGAGAAGTCAAAGATAGAATGCTTCAAGAAACATTGAAAGATCTGGAACCGTACTTGCCTATATGTGCCGAGTAGGTCTGCCATGTACTTTTTACTCGCTCGAGTATATGCCAGGTCCATGTTATGCCGATTCCTCCTGTGTAAGGAATCAATCGAGAACTTGGGGTGGGGAATTAAAGGGACAATGCACCTGGGTCAGATCAAAGAGATGAGCATGATGAGGATCATGGAAATCCTTGTTGATGAAGTCAAAATCACTGTGCCGTAGCCAATTAAAGTGACATTTAGATTAAACAACACTAGTTGTTTGAATGTAGGATTGAAACTTGAAAGAATGTTCCTACCGACGATTTCATATATCCGAGGGGAAATGTGGTACTAATCTTTGAATATATCTGAAACTCTGACCCGCCAAAAAGCGGTTGAATGCTATGACTTGCCTCACTCTGAACGAAAAAATGGGCACACCAAATCCGCCAAAATCGAGACTCTCTTTAAAACACTAATATTTCAAAAATAAAAAACAATTTGAAAAGATATTATAAATTGTACAAAACAAATACATCTTGTAAGTTATAAGCTCCTAATATTTTATTACCAATAAAAAATGAAAAATACTAACTCTCGATCTTAAAAAGGAATTCTGAAAATAGGACTGTCTTTTTGGTGTGCCTATTTTTTTGTTCAGAGTGAGCTTTTCTCTTGTAGTCGCCAGGCGAGTCGATTAGATTTTAGTTCTTAGTGTTCCCCTGAATGCAGGTACGACATAAGTTCCTAGGGCTTCTTGGCCGTTAAAGTGTTGCTGCTTTTATATAAAACTTCTTCTCTGCAAAAGTATGTCAGTATAAAGGATAGTTGTGTGACTCGCCTGTGTGAGGAAAGGGAGATTTCAATATTAGATGAATCAAACAGCATTAAAATTAGCTTTGACAATTTGACATAGGTACATAATTGGTGGCGCGGGGTGTAAAGCTTTCATCCCAACAAAAAGGAGTAGTTGTCATTCGATAGCCATGTTTCGTCTATATACTTCCGACGCCTAGACCTGTTTATACCCTGTGCAGCATTGAATATGTACGAACCATGACATTATTGACAGCCCTCTTGGGTCAAATTATCAGACGACGACTTTTGTTGCTTCCAAGAGAGAAACACCCAATCTGTTTTCCCCGCTTCGCTGACCTGCTCAAGACTCAAGTATTGGAGTTGATTGTGGGATTTCTCATACAAAAATCGGTAGATACACGAATCTAAAAAGTCCAAGAGCTGATCCATACCATTCTCATCTAGAGTATCAATAGCAGTACCAGAAGTTTGAAGTTTTGTTGATGTTTTTCTCACAACGATGGCCATAATTACTCGAAAGCATTTCGAAGTTCAAAGAAATTCCACCTTCGCTATCATTACCCAAGAAGGAGATCGAAAGAACCAATAAATTAAGGTTCCCTTGCGCGTGTTGATATATTTTCCGAGATTAAAAGCGGTAGACCAAGTTGTGGGGGGATATGAATGGCCTGCGAGAGTCCCCGAGACTCCGCAACAAGATCTTGCTTCGAAGCAAATTAGCACAAGCAAGATGAAATGTGTATGTACCGTGGAGCATGTCTCGCCAATGTACCGACCGTATAGATAAATTCTCTTTGAATGGAAACTGTATTGTGAACTGTCGAGGATGAAATGGAAGAGAAAGGGGTTCATATTTTAAGTTCATTCTTAAGGATCATCCTTAAGGTTCATTCTGTAGATTCATTGAAAGGGCTGCGAATTCGTGATACATATCAGATGTGAGATTGGGTGTCAAAACACATATTAATTTGATATTGATGATATTAACAAAAAGAAAAGAGTTTATCGCGAGGCTATGAATCCCGTGGTCAACCTTGGAAGTTCAAGATACTGTGGCTGATGCGGGGTCACTTAATAATCGTGGCTGGTGATATGTAGCCTGAGGCGGTCTATATAATTTTTGGCAGACGAAGGGCTTTCAGTAAACGCGAACTGTCGATTGGAACGCGCTGATCAGGGTAGAAGTTTGTCCAAATATTCTGCTTTTTGTTTGGTTTGTTCGATACCTCTGCAGTTTGTTTCAGCACTCTTTTGATATAGGAAACCTCGCACATCTTCAAACATGGCGATGAGTAAGTTTTTACCTGCTGTCACCGAGCGTTTGTCTCAAAGAGCTTCTGCTAACCACCCCGCTATGTAGATATTGATATGTCACAGGGTAAGTTGTATTTATACACACCACCAAATCGCCCTGGAAGCTTACAAGAAATTTATAGCTTCTGTGATCAAGGATGAGCAAGGAAGACCTTTCATCGTTGTTAGAGAGTAAGGATTTAACTCTTTTCTGCTGAAAGTGCAAGTACTGATGAAGTTGTAGTCAAGGAAAGAAAAAGAGACAACATGGAAACGAGGCAGTCAAATCACATATTCTAGCAGCGAGGACAGTAGCCAACATTGTCAAGACCTCCCTTGGTCCCCGAGGCCTCGATAAGATCCTTATTTCTCCAGATGGTGATATTACAGTCACAAATGACGGTGCTACCATTTTGGGACAGATGGAGATTCAGAACCACGTTGCAAAGCTTTTAGTCGAACTCTCAAAATCTCAGGATGACGAAATTGGTGACGGCACAACTGGTGTAGTGGTTTTGGCTGGTGCCTTGTTAGAACAAGCTGCCGAACTTATCGACAAGGGAATTCACCCCATTCGTATAGCTGATGGATACGACCAAGCTTGTGATATTGCTGTTGCGGAGCTGGATAGAATTGCCGATACTATCGAATTCACAAAAACACAAAAAGAGAATTTAGTCAAGGTTGCAAGGACAAGTTTGGGAAGTAAAATCGTCTCCAAGGCCCATGACCAATTTGCCAACATTGCCGTTGATGCCATCTTATCTGTTGCTGATTTGGAGCGTAAGGATGTTGACTTTGACTTGATCAAGGTTGATGGTAAGGTTGGTGGATCTCTCGAGGATTCTTTACTAGTTCAAGGTGTTATTGTCGACAAAGACTTCTCACACCCTCAAATGCCTGATGAAGTTCGAGACGCCAAGATCGCTATTCTCACATGTGCATTCGAACCACCCAAGCCAAAAACCAAGCATAAGCTCGACATTACCTCCGTTGAAGAATTTAAGAAACTACAAACATACGAAAAGGACAAGTTTACCGAGATGGTTCAACAAATCAAGGATACCGGTGCCAATCTTGTTATATGTCAGTGGGGATTTGATGATGAGGCAAACCATCTTTTATTACAAAGTCAATTACCAGCCGTGAGATGGGTTGGAGGACCAGAGATAGAATTGATCGCCATTGCAACAAACGGTAGAATTGTACCAAGATTTGAAGATTTATCAGCTGAGAAACTCGGAAGAGCTGGATTGGTCAGAGAAATGAGCTTTGGTACCACCAGGGAGAAGATGTTGGTCATCGAGGAGTGTGCAAACACTCGTGCCGTTACAGTCTTTGTCAGAGGAAGTAACAAGATGGTATGTTGTACGAGAATTTTATACTTATATCATTACTAATTGGTTGAACAGATCATCGATGAGGCGAAACGCTCCCTCCACGATGCTTTATGTGTTGTTCGTAACCTTGTTAGAGACAACAGAGTTGTTTATGGTGGTGGTGCTGCAGAAATCGCATGCTCATTAGCCGTTGAGGACGCCGCTGTTAAATCACCTGGTCTTGAACAATACGCCATGCGCGCCTTTGCCGATGCTCTTGATGCTATCCCAATGGCTTTGGCAGAAAACTCCGGTCTCTCGTCCATTGAAACCCTTGCCTCTGTCAAGAGTAGACAAGCCACCGAGAAGAACACAAGATTAGGTGTTGATTGTATGCAAACTGGTAGCAATGACATGAGAGATGCTTTCGTCATCGATCCATTGATCGGTAAGAAGCAACAGTTGATGTTGGCCACTCAACTTTGTCGTATGGTATTGAAGATCAATAACGTCATCATTGCTGGAAACGATGAGAATGAATTTTAGAATGGGAAAAAATTGCCATAGTAAAATAGACTAGGGTTCCATGATTAAATAGATTCATTTAAGCGCTTCAATTTGATATACCTATTAATGACAGAAATTCTGAGGTATCGCCGCTACTAGTTGAATGACGCTTATGTACAAATGTTTTTGTGGTCACCTATCATTCGGGATAGCTGCGAAGTGAAAAGCTTAGATGGCCATGGTTACCTATGATATTACTACACAGGCAACTTAAGAATTGAAGTTTTGAAAACGTAGATCGACGACTGGTCAGTTTCTTCCTATCTTATTTCTGCTCGAAGGTCGCAACTTCCCATTTTGAAATCAACGCCAGATTTATCACGGGTTAGCTAACATCTGGACCTTCCCGAATACAAACGAAGATGGAATCAGAAGACGTTAACACTTTACCGCCTATCAATCAATTAACAATCAACAAAAACGACGCAAAGTCTCGACCTTTACAACGTTTTGCATGTGCCTGCAATTGTACATACCGCTACTCCATTGCCTCAGAGTGATTCCTCATAATACTTTCTTAGCTACAACTTTGTTCACTCCTCATCCTAAAAAACTACACCTAGTACCCACCTACGCTTTCCATGGGAAATTGATATTGAATCAATCATATACCATCTCTTCTTTGGCCCTTTACAAATTCTTACTTCACTACTACCTCGCACTCACTCACTTTTCCTTTTTCAATCTTGAAACAAGGGTTGTTAATAAGGCAACTGGTTCCGGGTATGTACCCCATATGATTCACAGTCTGAGCCTCATCTGATACCTTATTTCGACTACATCAACTTTGTCAAAAATTGAATATTGACTAGGACAACCAATAGGATGTTATAGAACTCTTCAGATCAAGTCCAGAGAGCTCTTTACAGAGATTCCATCCAAAAAAGACCCACAACTTGTCCTATTATATTCCACTTTATTGACAGTCAAGGCCAAGTCCATTCACTTTAACTCGAAAAGTGACAGCCAGCAGTGGAAACTACACAATAAGTCCACATTCAAGACCAATAGGAACTCCAAAAAGAGTTCGAAGCCTGCTTCTTATCAGATTTTTACAACTTCCAGAAGATCTTACTCCTCACGTGAAATTTCTTCCTAGTATCATTCTATTCTCTTAGTTTGGTTTCTTGGCACACTTTGGGTTGGGCTAGTAGGAGTTGAGACTTCTTTCTTCATTTCAATACTTCTTCCATCATACATACACCTCTTCAGATACTCCTATGATAACGATATCCAGAAAGAAAGAAGAAGGCATTGAACGTAACCCACCTTTCAAGTACACTGTTTTATTTATCACGAATTCCCTTTGGATACCATAATTTCTCTAAGATTGATTGTTCAAATTTATCTGACAGTTCAAAGATTCGGATAATCATTGTTCTTACTTTTTATATTGTTTCCCTCCTACTCACTACAGCGGCTATAATTTAAGCCTGTCCCCTTTATCAAGATGTCATTCTCCAGCTTCTATGATCAGCCACTTCGACAAATTCTTTCCGAAGTCACTAAATCAAGCCGCCGCAAAAAAGCCCGCAACGATGCGGATATCTTAGCCACGTCAAGCAAAGCCCTTACAGATATTGCAGTGGTAGCTCCACAAAATGACTTCGTCGATGCTACTCCAAAATTAAATGAACCTTCCCTGCTTAGCATCGACCGGGCCCTTCACCAGATTAAGATCGCGCGGGAATTACTTGGATATGAGAGATTGGCGCCAAATGATTCCGTTTCAGTCATTACTACCAAGACCGAACGATGTGGCACTGTACAAGCTGTTGCCGACGCAGGGCTTGATCGAATCAGGGCCGCTCACTTTATATCTGACGTTACAGATTCACCAGTTGAGACCTCTCGGAAAGTATCTGGGAGTGAGAAAGCTGTATCAAACGCAGCGGTTTCGATTGTTCCGGTCAAATTCGAAAAGAATAGTGCCGTTACAATGGCTACTGATATAGGAATTGACCGAATTAAGGCCGCTCTCTGTTCTCCTGATGTTACAGATTCAAGTGTCAAAGTCGCCAATCCCACTTCCGACGAAGCAGTCTCACCTATTAAAGTCTGCAAGTACTTCTTGAGTCGCAAAGGATGCAGATACAAAAACAACTGTCAATCCATTCACGATCACGATGCCAGGGCTAAGCTTAGGGAGCAATGGGCGGCCGACGATGTCAAGAAGAAGCTCGAGCAAGTTCGCACTAATCAACAGACTTCCTCTACAAGAGAAGTCCTTGCACCTAAGGGCAACAATTTAAATATCCCTGTTGCTGTCGCTAAACCTTCAAAGCCCTCCCCAAAACGCCCATCAAAGAAGAAGAGGCCAGCTTGCAAAAACTTACAATCTCCTGATGGTTGTGTTCGGAAGAATTGCCCATTTCCACATGATGAACCGGAAAAGCTCATTGACGACACCGTTCCTGGTGAAGCCCCAGAAGTTTCCAACAGCATTTCAAGCAGTCAAATCCCCAAATGTCCTAAAGCCATATCACACAAACGTAAGGTCAAGAAATCTTCCAAAGCCACGGTGGTTAAAACTTCTGAGCCTGAGCAGATTTTTTCGGCTGCCAAACCTATTATATGGGAAGGCAATCCTAATTTGGGTGACGAAGCCTATTGCACCAGTGCTGTTCTCCAAATATTTGGCAAATTCGCTCCGACAAAAGAGGAAGCTATTGAATGGTGTAAAGAGATGGACGTGAATCGAAACTTTCGACATTTCACCAATTTTGACGATCTTACTATGTGGGGTCGGGCCATTAATCTGAATACTGATGAGTTTCTAACCCATATCGGATATCTACCAGAAATACTTGTACGATTCACACTCAAGACGCAGCTCTATATCAAAAAACTTAGAGCCGTATATGAGGCAGAACAGGCGAGACCAAAGTATGATACTTTCCATCGTTTTGATGACCTTCCTAACGAGCTATGTATGAAGATCTGGGGATTTGCAGTCAGAAGTGGGAGGACTCTTACAGTCAGTATTAACCAGGATGCGATCTATACTGAAGGGGGACCTGGTCTATTCAAACGTCGACGTGGAACTTCACCTTCACCATTATGGCTTGTTAACAAGCAAGCGCAGAAGGCATGCATGTTAGATAAAAGCTGTGCATTCTACTTTGGCTGCGATTATTTCTCCTCGAGATTCGATACATTATTTCTCAACGATACCGCAGAAAATGTCAGTCTTTATGCCACTCAAATTGCCTTGTGGAGAGGCAACGTTGTACAACGATTATCCTTTCCTCATTACAGACTTTGCGACATCACAGATATGCGTCTCTTTGCCACCAGTCTCTACACAGCTTTCCCAAACCTTATCCGCCTCGAATTCAGTCTTTCAGATGGGGAGTACTGGTCCAAATATCGAGAAAAGGCTCCTAAAGTCGTCGAAGCAGCTGGTACTGAAATTGCCAAGGTATATAAGAGACGTGGTGCTAATATCAAATTACCACGTGTTCGTTTTGCCCTGGTACCAGAAAAACAAGCCATGGGAATGGGTATCGGTGGTATTGGATGGTAGATGGGGGTGGGTAGTCACTTGGAGTTTGTTTGCGAGGAATTTGTGGAGTTCTCGATAGTAATTGGGTTGGATTTTATTTGAAAGGGGTGGTTAGCAAATAGTTATGGATGAATGTCTTAAGTTGCAATACAAGATTGATATTATCGAAATACTTAAGAGCGGTTGACTATGTAGAATGATATGTGATATGGATGGTTCAGATGCGCACCTGTGATTTCAGACGAGATAGTTGTTGTTGTGGTATATACCAAGGTAGAAAGCAACGATGAAATAAAAGTTCATCTTACAGATGTAGAGCGTAGCTCAATGAAACGTACCTTTTTATAGATGTTTGTTTTGTTAATTAGAATCTACGGTTGTGTACATGTAAAGTTATGAACGCTGCTCCACCTCCTCCCAATCTCCATCCCCTCCCCCGCTTCCATCTTCCCTGCTTGTCTCTATTCAACCCCTACTCCCACTCCTCGAGCACGTCTCCCATCACAACACCCCCTCTTAAGAATCTCCCCCGGTCTTCCCTTCTCCATCAATACATTCATCTCGAACCCTAGCACCATGCGTATCTGCACCCGCGGTAGCATAATAACTCGAAGTTACACATCGATTTTCGAATCAATATTCCTCATCGCTTCATCGAGAAGAATCTTACTCTGATCACAAAGCGCGCGTGCGGGCGAGCGAAAATTGTTGGCGTGGTCTGGGGAGAAACCCATGTTTTCGGATTGCACGGGAGAGGAAGAGAGGAGTGATAGCATATTGCTATTCAGTCGAAATTTACTGTACTTTTTTCGGGCTAGCTGGCGTGGAGGTAGATCTCTGTGTAAGGGATTTCTTGGGGATGAGGGTTTGGTGATGGTTTATTTTTGTATGGAGTATGTGGAAGGAAGAATTGCTTCTAGGTCATTGTAGTCTAGAGATTGTCGTGATGAGTTTGGTGGTTTTGGGTGGGGTGATGGGGGAAGGGAGTATGAGACTTGCTGTGCTTGGATTGGTAACTGTTGAGGGGGGGTGACTAGGGTGATGGTGATGAGGATGAGGATGAGGAGGATATTGATATTGTGTAGGCAAGTGAGTTGCAGCTGTGTGCTGCCTCACCCGTAAGTTCAAATAATGAATTCATAGGCGAGAGATACAACCCAGCAGCAGCGGTGTGAGCCTCGAAAAATAATGAAGCTTAAATATGATGGCTTTGTTATATCTCTCTTACCATACGAGGAATAATGAATGATCGCGTCGTCTATCTTGATTGACTATAAATCGAGGTGTTAGAGGTAAGTTCTAGAATATAATAACAATATTAATATTCTAGTAATAGTGGAAAACTTAGTCATTTTAGCTTAAGGGACAAATCAAATATAATATAAGAGTTGAATTGAAGACAAATTATAAGAAAGAGCTTGATTGAGCTGAATTTGCTTACTTTTTCCTAGGTTTTCTTTAAAGAATATCCTAGGTTTATATAATTTATAATGAAATTCTAGTAGTTTCTATACTTATAAATAAAATCGATTTAAATCGAATCTTATAGAATCATTTTATATCATAAAAGAAAAATACAACCAATCAATTTAGTTAATTTATTAACAATTTTCCATATGATTTCATCTCATTCTATTTCATTATAAATCAATTTGATAAGAGATATAGCTATATTATAATATAATAATATAATTTTATAATATAAAATCATATTATACTTATATTATTAATATATATATAGCTTGATTAGTAAGATATTAATAAGTGATTTAGTATACTTATTATAGAATCTCACACGAGGTTTAAAAGATCGATGTAATGGTACTGCATTTGGAATTCTGATACACTTACCCTTCATAACCTGTCATCAATTAGTTGTTGATCTGGTGAGAATGACGACGCATAGGAGAATCGAAGGGCCTACCACACAAAATCGACAATGGTATTTCGAGGCTACTTCTATTTGGTCGAAGATTTTCACCTGGCGTATCCCCTAGACTGTGATGATTGAAGCTCAGAATCTCTGAAGAATTGAAATGTGCATCTAGTAGAGATTCACAAAAGGATCATGAATAGTGACAGGAGAGATGTGATCTCAGTCTTTTTCGCTGCCATGGCCACTGGAATTTAAGTCCATAAGCCCTTTTATAAATCTAGCTTTATTGAGATGATGTATTTGACTTTTTAGTACATAAAAACATCAAGAGCCTGTACCAAAAAGACATGATCGCATCCGGCCAGCAGTGATCCCTGACAACATCCTAGGGCGTCATTCATATATTGTTCACTTCTTGGGCGACTGCCTTTGCAGGTTTAACCTCGATTTGGCTGTGTGCCCAATATCATTATTCTTTGAGCCCAAAAACAATAGCCATGTTAAGTTCCATCTTAATCTCGAGAATATCGAGGGACGTTGAGGACACTTGACTTCAAGCTTCCAGACAAATCATACAGTAATTGAAACAAAACGATCATGGGAATCTTCGTTTAGATGACTCTGATTTAAGCACATTCTCGCTTCAAACTTTCGAAGTGATTGATGACAGAATATATCCTATCGTGAGTATCCAGGTTGCAAAGTCTACAACTTCCGAAGATAATATGTACACATCGATTGATATCCAAACTCCTCGAATCAGTAAAACACTGCCGAGCCAAAATAATTCCTACATCGGGAGAGATGAGACCAACCCAAAATCCCAGGACAACAGTCTGAAAAACACCTGGGCGATACAAACAAATCTACATCGCAATTGCCACCTACCCCCAGACCCAACCATCCTTGACCCCTCCCACGTGATCATCGGGCAACCTTCCCTAATCCACCCACCCCACCACGCCCTCAATCCCAATCACGTCATTGGTTTCATCTACGATCAGAGCGCGGACCAAAATTTCACAAACTTCTGACAGGGACAAACTAATAAACTCATCACTACGAGTAGATTATCAAACATTTTTCATTTTGTTGACTATTCTGAGAAAATTATCTCGGGATAAATTTCCAATTGGAGGTTTGCAATTGTTGATTGGCGATTGGATTTACGTATTTACGTGTTTATATATACATTCGGTTTCTTCTCTTATATCTATATCTTTCTTTCTTCCCTTCTCCGACCTACGAAGAATCTCGACAAACTACATACACACACAAAAAACACGCTGTCGACTCACCACACCCGTCCCATCCTCAAAAATGACCATAACACTCCACTTCGTGCGCCACGCCCAAGGTTTCCACAACCTCTGCACCGCCAACCACACACTCCCCGACCCCCTCCTCACTCCCCTCGGAAAAGAGCAATGCGCAACCCTCTCCCAGAACTTCCCCTCCTCCTCCAAAATAACCCACCTCGTCTGCTCCCCCCTCCGCCGCACCCTCTACACAACCCTCTATTCCTTCCCCCGCGCCATCGCCCGCGGAATCCCCATCCTCGCACTCCCCGAAATCCAAGAAACATCCACTCTTCCCTGCGACACCGGATCTGCGCCTGCGGCGCTCGCGGAGGAGTTTTCCGGGAGCGTGGATCTGGGACTTGTGCACGAGGGGTGGAACAGTAAGAGTGGGAGATGGGCGTCGAATGCGCAGGCGATTGAGAAAAGGGCGAGGGAAGCACGGGTTTGGTTGAGGGAGTTGGGGGAAAAGGCCGAGAGGGAGGGGGAAGAGGATGTGAATATTGTGGTGGTGACGCATGGGGGTTTCTTGCATTATTTTACGGATGATGTATGTTTTTTTTTTCTTGTTTTTTTTTCTGTCATCTTCTCTTCAAATCTTAAGGGAAAAATTCACATAACTAACCTTATTCGAATAGTGGGAAGATTCCACCCTTTTCGTCGGAACCGGCTGGTCCAATACCGAATTCCGCTCCTATCAATTTCGCGCCGCCGATTCCAGCGATCCCAATGCTGCAATTCAAGAAACGAAAGAAAGTAGAGAGAGAAGGAAAGGAACTGAGAAACCGCTTACGGATGATGAACAGAGGAATTTGAGAGCGGCGGCCGAGAGTGGATGGCAGCAGGATGGGTTTCAACAAAAGGTGAAGACTGAGGATGGGAAGGAAGTTGAGGTTGCTGCTTAGGGGGTGGGATGATGTAGATGATAGAGATAGAAAAAGAGGTGGATGGAGGTTCGGGAATTAGATGGTTGAAAGATATTATAGATTTCATATAAATTTCATATAGATTTCATATAGATTAGACAGATTCAGGTAGAAAGAGATAGATGGATAGATTTGCATACCAGAAGGCAATCATAGAATTCACTGATTAGTAAACGGTGGCATGTAAACTAGAATCATAGCATACATACATACAAGTCATTATATTCATATTCCTGGAGTATAGTCCCGCACAGGACAACCCTTCGATAATCCAAACACACCAAGAAATTCTTGACAGATATAATATACATTGATAATCAATGATCTCATACTATATATCTATATACCTCTCACAAACCTCCTTCATCAATCCACTCCCTAACCACCGTATCACTCTCCAACCCCGCATCTCCAACCTCCATCTCAGTAACTCTCTCCTTCGCAGTCTCATCGGCATCACAATCCTCATCCCATAAAACCCTTTCTTTCAATTCATGCATTACTACACTTCTTCTCATTAACTTTGTTAATTGTTGAGCTTGTTGTTTGAAAATATCGTGTTCTTTTTCTCTTTCATTTTTTTCTTCAAGCTTTCCCTCATCTTGTGTTATTTTTTGTGATATACCATGTGTTTTCTCTCCGGAAAACGAAGAAGAGGAGTAAGTAAACAACGATCTTGGTATCCGTAACGATGATTTAGTAGGTGGGAAGATGAGATTTGATTTCCGGGATTCGATGAGGGCTTCTTGCGACTCTTCTTCTTCTCCTTTTTCTTCTTCGGTTGCATACTCGTTTGAGGGATCTGGATATGGAGAATGAGGATCAGGATAGGGAGAAAAGTTATCGGCTTCTATAGAATCTGTACTTTTAGGACTAGATGCCTGAGTGGGTGAAAAGGATGAGGGAGATGGGGAAGCAGGAGGAGAAATGGGCCATCGTTGTGGAACCGAGATGCCGGAGGTGCGAAAGAAGAGAATAGGTGAAGCGAAGGGATCGAAGGTTTGAGATGGAGATGAAAATAGACGAGTTTTGAGGGCGTGGAGGGTCAAAGTTGTCCAGGGAGAACTTTGGTATAAGTCTAATGTTGAGAGGCGATTGTACGAGAGGTTTTGCGATGAATCTGCGGATTGAGAGTGAAAGATTGATGGGTCAGGCGTGGTAGAGATGGGAGTCCAGTCAAAAATTCCATTATGCACTATGAGAGAATGGATCTTAGTGGGTAAGAAGGAAGAGGTGAATGATTCTGTGAGGGCGAGAGAAGTGGCAAGAGTACCGCCAAGGTATGATCCATAGATTAGAAGTGGTCGTTGGATTGGTTTTGGATTGTTGTAAAAACAAGTTGAGTCTAGAGGTTTAGGCTCCGGTAACAGAGAGGGTAGGTAACTTTTCAATAGCCAACTATAAGCTTGAAGTGTATCATGAACTGGAGTGATGGTCAGTAAAAGTCGTAGGATAACTTAAGAAGTCTCGTTTCGGTAAAGAACCGAGAAATTGCACGCCAGACGACACAATCGAGTTCGTTTACTTACGTGGTATGGGAAATGCATGAGATCTTTGTTTGCGAAATGATGTTTTAGGGCTATGAGACCAGCGGTAGGGTATGTTAATGACAGGATATGAATTCAGCAACCATGAAGGAGGATGAAATGATGAAAGTGTAGAAGACGGGTATGGTGGTAAGTAGATAACCAAAGGTGTTTTGGGCGAATTGCGAAGGAGAAACTCATTGTGAATTCTAGATGCACAATGTTAGCTTGAGTATCGCAATTTTCAAAAACGCCATGGAAATATATCACTAACCAATGTTGAACATGCACAAGAATCCTTGAGCGATTGGCACGAAGGCATCGCCTACTTTTACTTATCTGGTGGATACTTACACCACAACCTTCTATCCATTGCGTTGGTACATCACCCATCATGGCGACCAACCTTGCTGGAGAATTCACCCTCAGCCAAGGTAGTTACTAGGGGAGGAAGACCACTTGATCGTTTTCCACACGTGATGCGTGAATTATCTCGAATAACCTGGAATGCCATACCGGGGGGTCTTTGCTTCACGGCTCGGGCTAGAACAGTGACCGGATAAATAGAAAACATAGATTGGCAACCTACTCGACGGTGATGTGTCCCGAGATACCACAAGCGATATCATAATTCTCCACTTGTAGCGGCGCAGCTGTTGCCAATTGTCTCCTTTTTTGAGCTGGCCATTTCTTGGTTGTAACTCGTGTAAACAGACGAAATGTACGAATACTGTGCCCGCATTCATAAAAGCGCATTTCTAACGATTTCAACTCAGTGATGTTAAATGTACGAGTAAGGGTTGATATTCAAATTGGACCTTCTTAGTGCGACGAGAAAGATAGAATCACGATATCAAATTTGAGAGATACCTTGCGCGCGCGATACTACGCCTTCAATCAGCGGAACTGTTGAGACACGTCGTCTCGTTTTGTATTGTGGAGGCCTCTGGAGGATGTCATTAACATGCAGCAAATAGACTTGTTTGGTGGTCGCCAAATCTATAGCTTGCGCACGAGGTTGGTTGAATGGATGGAAGAGTGAAAATTATCGGCTTGACTTTTTCTTGCATCGATTGTAAATGGATACCTAGGGAACGACAAGGGGTAGATGATGCTAAGTCTGATGGAGTAATAAATGATCAATAAATTATTAACTATTGATCCCTCCTGTTTGTAGAATTATTACTAATTCATTAGTTATCATAAATTCTTACGAGGGGAGGTAGATATAAGCCCTATTTTTCCACTGAGATATTCTTAATACTTTTTTCAACCAAAAATTTAAAAATCCCAAAATTGAAAGAAATTCGCTCTTTTGCCCTTCCCTTCCTTTGGACCTTCCTTTGGAAGAGGCCTGTGTTGTGTGTTAGCACGACGCACTTGTTTCTACTACCCATCCGAAACAATGGGTTGGTAAATGGCCCCATCATTTCCACGTACAATGTATGCAAATTGCCCCACGCGCTGATACATTCAGACTCTCAGAGTACTAATGAGTACAGAGGCGTGAGAGGACAGTGATAGTGTCTGTCATGAATGATGATTTGCTACAGAAGACATTCCAATGATTTTGACTTCACCCCTCGATCCACTCATCATCCCCCCCCCCCCCCCCCCCCCCCCATTTCAATCTAATCCCTTCTCCCCTGAACCACACAGTCTGAAACTAACTCAACTGAGCGGACAGGCAGGCTCGCTAAGAGAAAGCTTGGGAATACAACTTGAGAACTAAGAACTTGTACTCCCAAGGTCAAAGAATTGAAGCACCGCATGGGGGGCAGTGCAAGTAGGAGTAATAGATATACAGCATGGCATGAGCATTCAATCCTATTATCCTAATAACAAAAGAGTAAGAAGGGCTGTCGGTGTTGAACAATGATTGGTCAATGAGGGAGGTGTTTTCCAAATGTTTACGAGTAGGTATGCAGTCGAGCATTTTTCGAAAATACGATGCAACGAATCAAGATGGAAGACGATTGGTACGGTGGATCCCAACCGTGAGGATATAAACCGTTGCAGGAAGGGTCCCATACATATGATACGGTATACGAGTATCACATTGTCCCTTTTTACCATTGGGAGACGGTTCCTACATATTATTAGATCAGCACAGCCCATTGAGAGTCATACAAGCACGAATGACCAAAAAGCAAGCATGTACGGTATCAGAATCATCTACACTGTACTTGTGTGTACATCACCCAATCCCTTAAAGGATTGGTATCACGCCCAGCCCTGTTGGATAGAATTGCGACTTTCCCCCATTTAGTAAAGAAGACTTACGCTACCAATCCCGCAGTCTTGGCCACGCATCGAATGCTCTAACCTGGAGGCTGGAAGGATCCTCAACTGATCAGACTACTCATTGCCTTCATCTTGGCTGAGATATAAATCATTCCATCAATCGATCAATCACATTTGAGCCCATGTGAAAAGGAAAGGAGAACTGTCCCATCTACCTGGTGATCGATGAGTATATGTATATGTATATGTATATGTATACACATACATGTATATGTGTGTATGTATATACATAGAAAATGTAATATATACTCAAACATCCTTATTAATCAACTCTTCACATTGTATCAGACGCACACTCATCTCACAATATAAGAAAACGCGTAAGATTCACGAATCAACATTTCGCAGCATCTTCGGTTGCATGGATATTCTTCCCAGCATTGCACGGACTCCCAAACCCCTAAACCCCTGCCTAAACTCATCATCCTCTTCTTTCATTGGCCCATACTTGGATTCCAGATTCACAAATCGAACAATTGGAACTCAAACTTCACTAAAGACTCAAGAGAGAAGTCAGCAAAGTCAAGTCAAACTTTAATCTTCTCTCCCCTTTACGCTTGTTTAACTCCACCAAAGACGGGTGGGCATTGTGGACGCAGTCAAAAAAAAATCGAATTCCCTCATTCTACAATTCAACTTCTCAATACAGATATCCCATCTATCCTTTTCTTCTCCTTTTTCATTAATTATACTTTTTCTACAGAGAATCTTCGTATATTTTGACTTACATAATTCAATTTCACTCCTTGTAAGTACGTACGCCTGTGCTTTACGTACCCCATTCGCATGGAGCTCAGCTTATCCCACCTGGTTCCAACAACTCTCAATATCCAATTTTTCCCCTTTTTCAAAAATAGCCTTCTTCATCTCTCAAACGGTCATACTACCCATCCAATTCTTCATGGCTTTCAGATGAGATAAACCTTTCATGTTGCGCCCAGCAATTATCTGACACAAACCCTCCATCGATACGCGCACGAACACTCTCTAACCAACAACAAGTTTACCTACAACATGGCAAAAAGAAATTGGAAAAAATCATGCTGTGGAGTGGTAAACAGTATTCTAGCAGCGCTGGCATTGTATGGGACCCTATACTTAGCAGTACTCATCTTCGAAAGAGGAGCTCTCCCAAAATCGCCATCTGAACTTTACAAGAAACCCTCTCATGGATCGTCTTCTGAACACGGTTCTGTACCTGTGCCCCCTCCACCCGCGACACTACATATCGAAAAGATCAATCCAAATGCAAATTGGTTTAATAGACCCGAGAGTTTGGTAGTTCCAAAGGATGACTATTTGGGAAATCGGCCACACATCGATACGGTTGCGAACCTAACAAAATTAGTGGAAGAATGCAGAGGATCATACAAAAAAATTGAGAAAATGCCATACGTTTTCGACTGTTTGAATTATATGAGTGAAGGCGAGAAGGAATACTATTACATGCCGGCACAAGGAGAACGAGCAAGCGAACAGCCCCCCAAGTTGGCCGAGTATCTCAATTCTGACGGTCGGGACAACTCTTTGGCTCAGTATCCATCGCAGAAAGCTTA